TACTGGTTCCTCGGCAGTGTGCCTGCAACATTTTGTGACGGCCTTGTAAAAACCCAGCATGTTGGGTGAAGTTCGAGGCTTGAATAATGCGCCTGCCATGCCTGCGGATCTTATGCCTGCTAGCGGCTAAGCAGCTTTTCGTGGCTCATTTTTGCAGAGGGCGAGACCAGCAAGTACGTCCGATTGGCACGATCGATGCTGGGTTGCTGGAGTACTACTCCACTGAACACGGCAAAATTTGCAATGCACCTGTGACTACTGCACATCCTGTTCAACAGGACGCTCTAGTTGAGTTTGCAAACCAATTATTCAATTATAGTTATTCCCTAAGTCCGAGGGTCTGCAGCGGTGAAACTGCCGTCCGTGGGACGTCTGCAAGGAGCTGGAGGGCCATCGGGCAGTACTGCCCTGCCCTTTCGCATGCACTGACTACTATGTCAAGGTTGCGAGCATCCGGTGTCAGTCTCCTGTATGGCATGTCCGACATCAACTGGAGCGCTACTTGCCAATGTTGACCAGAGTTGCAGGCGCTTATGGCAGCACTGAAACTGAACATGTCTGCAGGGAGATGCAGCAGAGGCATGCTTGAGAGCAGCTGAATGGCTGCTTGCCATTGGCTGCCTTTTTCGCATGCACTTATCGTGCCGCTGAAGCAGAAAATGTCGGGAACAAGGCTGCTGGCAGGCATGCCAGACAACAACTCCATCGCAAGTGGCCATTGCCTGCCTTCCTCACACGCACTGATTGCCGCACTGTAGGTGATTAGATCAGGCGTCAGGTCATCAGCATGAAGCGCGTGAAGCAGTCGAAGGGCCATCTGCCATTCCCCGGCTTTCTCACAGGCACTCACGGCCGAGTTGAGGGTAATCATGTTCGGCTGGATAATGAGACCACGCATGTCCTCAAGAATGTGCAAAGCCAGCTGCCACTCAGCGCCTTTCTCGCAAGCGCTGATCATGGCACCGCAAGTGACCACGTTCGGAGCAAGACTTCGAGAAGGCAATGAAGCCATCAGGCTGAGAGCCATCTGCCAAAGCCCGCTTTTCTCGCAGGCGCTGATGGCGGCATTGTAAGTGATGGTCTCGGGCCGTATGTGCATCGCAGGTGCCCCCGCGAGTAGGAGCAGCGCCGTGGCCCACTGGGCTCCCGACGCACAGGCGCTGATGGCGGTACCGAAGCTAACTTCCGTCGGCTTAAGCTGGAAAGAGCGAAAGATGCGCCCCAGCACGTGCAGCGCGACTTGCCACTTCCCGGCTTTCTCACAGGAGCTCATCACAGAGTTCAGCGTGATCTCGTTGGGCTCCGTGGTCCGTGCAGCCATCGTATCGAGAAGGCAGAAAGACATCTGCCACTGCGCGCACTTTTGGCAAGCTGCAACGGCGGCACTGAAGCAAACCACGTTGGGAGCTGTGGCTGTCCCTTCTGAAGGCACAGATTGCATGTGCGAGAGCAGCCAGAGTGCCATGGTCCACTGACCGCCTCGAGCACATGAGCTGATGGCTGCCCCAAAGCTCACTTCGCTGGGGACACACTGGCTTTCGGAAAGGTGCTCGAGAAGGCATAAGGCCATCTGCCATTGTGCAGCTTTTTCGCAAGCGCTCATTGCTGCGTTAAAGCCTCGGTTGCATCAAGTGTCTGCGCTGAGAAAAGATAGCAGCCCAACTTCTCAACTCTGCCCCGCAACATCCCGCAACTAACACACGAGGCTCAGCGATGCTATGCCTGCTATGCTAAGGATGGGCAAGAGGCTGATGACACTGGGGACCTGCTTGGCCGTCGGAATCTGACTCAGGAGCTCAAGTGCTCTCTGCCACTCTCCGGCCTTCTCACAGACCTTGATGGCTGCATTGAAGCTGATAGTGTTGGGGAGCACGGCCGTCCGAGGGAAGTCTTGTAAAATCTGCAGGGCCACTTGCCAGCAGCCCGATTCGGCACATGCACTGATGGTGGAAGTGAAGCTGATCACGTCCGGCAAAGTGCTGGCAGACGACATCTCCGCGAGGATCCCAAGAGATGTCTCCCATTCACCGGCCTTTGAGCAAGCATCGATGGTCGAGTTGTAGCTGATGACGTTGGGTTCGACCCGGGCAGCCGGCATCTCCGAGAGCAAGTGCAGCGATATCCTCCACTGAGTGCTCTTTCCGCACTCGGCGATCGTCGCAGAAATCGCAAAGACATTTGGTGCAACTCGGGACCCGGCGAGCTGCTCCAAGTCGCCCAGCTTCCTCTGCCACCCTCCCCCTCTCTGCGGGCGCCTCCGACTAGAAGGAGGCCCGTGGGCCTCGCCTTTCTCCTTGAGGCTGCCGGCATTTCGATGAAACGAGACGTCCATGGATGCCGCCAGGGCCGCCAGCAAAGTGGCAATTGCTCACATCTCCCCCGCCCCACCGGCTCCTGCAAGGCTCTGCGAGCCTCGAGCTGTCGGAGTTACCTAGCGGTTTACGAAAGAAACACCTGACGCGTAGCATTGTTGAAAAAGGTCGAGCACGGCTTGGTTTCACCGAGGTCAGCTCTGCACCAACACTCAGCTGGGCATAACGGATTTCAATTTCGGACAGGACTTAGAAAGACCTCCAAGTGCTAGTATCTTCTGCCGTTGAGCGAAGGACAAGGTTGCCGCATGTGAAGTCAAACGAGTAAATACGCCTGCGCTAGATCGTGCAGCATTACTCAGCTGCCTGGGTACATGAAAACCTTACCTTCACATGAAAGCTTCCAGCTGTAGCTCTGCTTGTTCACCTATATATGTTGTAACCCAGTCTTCTGACCTCGCCTAGAACTCTTTGAGATGCACTTGTAGCGAGTGCGGGAATCTACACCGAGACTGAAGCAAGAAGTGCACGCAATGGAGCATGAGAGCACATAGACGCGGCTATTGACCCACATAAAGCCAAGCTGCCGACTGCCACAATAAGGCCTCACAGGCAGGCATGTAAGGCTCGGGGCTTCACGCGAAAGGCTCACTGGAAGGCTGGGGATCCTGGCCATGGGCTTTCCATCCCAATGTGTGAACCCTCCTGGAACAGACTCAACGCCAACTTGCGCCGAGGAACCGTTCAGTCTGCTTTGGACTCGCCTCTTGGCACTAAAGATTGTCCTGAGTCGCAAGGATCTCAGGCTACGAGCGGTTGTCAAGATTATGGTCCCTTTCTGGGAAAACGCCACCTACTATTCAGGGTACGCAGAAAGGGACCCTAATTTTGACCCCCAGGATTTAAAGTATCTAACTTAATTCGGGCCGGGAATTGAATAATTTAAATCCGGGCCACTCCCCCAATATTTATATAATTTTTTTGAATTATTTAATTCGGGCCGGGAAGTAAATAACTTAAATAATTAAATAGTTTAAACAATTTGAATAATTTAAATCCTGGGGAGGGGTCCCGGGGGTTCCATGAGAGTGGTGGCGCTGCCGACGCACGACTTGAAACGTAGGACCATTGGCTGGACCTTCCCTAAACCCTAAGCCCTAAACCGCGAGGAAAGCACAGGCCAAGAGTCTGAGAAAAGATGTAGGAGCCAGTCGCGCCGCCGAACATGCCTCTGCTCAGAAGTGGGATACCATATCATGCTATATTGTACTTTATTATATCATAGTATAGTAGAGCCTTCCATGTTCAAAGCAGAAGGGCACAGGCCACTTTTGCATTCAGACCTGCAGGTCTGAACAACCTGCAGGGGTACGTAAACAGGAACCCTTCAACTCAACTCTAAAACCTAAACTCTAAACACTGACTGAACGAAAGAGTAAGACTTGGCTTTGAATCCCCAGCCGGCAGCGATATCTCGAGATCATAGGGAACCCCTGGAGCGCAGATGCGTTCTTCGCACCAAAACTTGCAACTCCCTTTACATGCGCTCGTCTACAATCTTGGTTGAGGTTTGACAACAGGCCATACAGCCCACATGCTTCCCTCCTGCCGAACTAGGCCGTCTGCATATTTCAAATCTACCCAAACTATGCCCCAAACCCTGGATGTCAGCTGCCAGGTGGCCACTGACCAAGTTGCCAACACCAATAGTCACAAGCCTGATCTGCATGAAGACCGGAGATTTGGAACCGAGATGTCAGGCTGCTTCTGGTTTCGGATTCGGGCTCAGCAGGAAGCTAGACTGTCGAGCTTTCGAGCGCCTCGCCTGCAACAGCGCCACCTATCATGTCGGATCCCCCAGAAATTGTCATGCCACAAACTCGAGCAGTCTGAGCGGCTCGGCATCGTAGTCCTTATCTCCACGGCTGCGAGTTTCACACACATTCAGTCTCATGTCTGTCCTCCTTCGAAGGGATGCACTTATGAAAGCTCCATCGAAACCGTGACCTCATGCAGCACCCTGGGCTATTCAAAACCGCACATGACGAGACTTGTGGCGCACCAAGTCGATCCAGGCATGGTGCGATCTTCTGCCCAGCCATCTCGGCTTGGATGGCGACGATGTCCAGAGAAGATCCGAAGGTGACGATGATCATCAACCCGATCACGTTCCTACGTTTCGGAAGGTTCAGGGTTGACAAGTTTTCCGTTGCTTCACACGAGCCCTTCTTCCAACTGCAAAGCTGGCAACTTTACAAGGCTTAGGGCCCAGAGTTGAGGGAACTAGGACTCGGGTTGGAGGTACTTTCGCAGCCTAGCTTCAGGGTTTGTTTCCGCCTTTCCGGGATGCCTCGACCGAAATCTAGCAGAGATTCAGAGTAGAGCTCGCGAAGCCAGCACCGACACCAAAACAGCTTGCAATCTGAGGACCCCCCCAAAACCCTATTCTAACTATTAAGGCCCCTATACTACAGTACCCTTATGGATCCCTTTTTGTAGCCCTTATAGACCCCCTTAAAGAAACCCCCCTCCAGATTGGCGAATGCCTCGTCGTCCCTTTTCCGGCTCCGAAGGCAGCATTTGTAAATCGAACAAATCATTTGTCCGGCCGAGGTCTCGCTTCCGAAGACGAGAGAGCAAAACATATGCAGGGATATTTGCTGTGCAAGCCGTGCTAGCAGTGGATAGTCACAACCAAAGCAACAACATCTGCTTCTGCTCCTCCTCCTTCTCCTCCTCCCTCTCCCTACTCCTCCTCCTGCTGCTGCTGGGCTTAGAGTGTGGATCGACTTCGAACTTATTGATGCAAGAACAGATGGTAATGGGCTATAGTCTATAGTTAAGCCAACCCGAAACTTACCTTTGGTTAGTAGGAAATGAAAGGAATGGGGTACAATTATAGCTACTACTGTATTACTACCATTCTTCCACTCCCTAGTAACCAAAGGAAACGAGTCTTTCTGTGCAAAAGATCTCGAGGTGAAGGAGGCCCCAGCACGGCCATCCCACAAAGCGTGGGGAGTGCCAAGAAATCTGGCAGGCCTCAAGCCTGGACCGTTGACAGTGGAGGGTTTGAGGTTTGAAGATCTGAATGGCATCCATCTGTGTAAGTATATGTATGTATGTATATATATATATATATATATATGTATGTATAGATCTCTTATATGTATATCTTTATATGTATGTATATATGCTCTCGGGTCCCGGGCCGCCACCCCCCCCCCCCCCCATGGTATCCCCCCCCACCCCCTCCTCCCCTCCTGCTGCACGCCCACCCGCCCCGCACCTTGCCCGCCCCTTGACCCTTGTGCGCGGATCTGGAGTGTGGCGCTATGCCCTGCCGTGTGCGGAAAGCGGCAATCGGCTCAGTAGTTTCTAGCATCTGACATGAATTGCAATGCTGAATTATATGAGGGTTGTATGGCGATGGTGATGGTGGCAGATAGGTATTAAAGATGATGACGACGACAAGGATGATGTTGAGCATGGTCTGATTGTCGACTCATGTCCCGGTCTAGAGCAGCACAATATCATGAGCAGTATCACCGGTGCCACAGCAAGAGGGAAGACAAGGAGTAACACATAAGAACGTCGCGGCAAAACAAGTACCACCACAGGCCCCACACCACAGGGGGGGGCGGGGGGGAAGGGGGGAGGATACCATGGGGTGGGGGGGGGAGGGGGGTTGTGGCAACCCTGCATCATATATGTCAGGCTTTCGCTGTCACCTGCTGAACCTCCCTGGACCCCAAAACCAACTTGAATGCAAAGTAGAGCATTCGGCGTTCGGCCCTCAGGGCTCCAGGGCCAGGTAGCCCTCAGCGACCTTCGGTCGTCTGCCATGCCAGAGCCCGGCAAAGTAAGCCAGGGGTACCAGGGCCAGCACCTGAGCACTCAGCATCTGCAGCTGTTAGGGTTTAGGGTTCATGATGTCACCTATTTGGAAGTTTCGGAAAAAATTTGGATCCTAATATAGCACCGTAAATATTAGGATCCCTATTATACGGAGCCCAAAGCAAGCCCTCATGATTCATGATGTGATCTTGTCTACGATTTCCTCAACCCGCTCGCCGGGTCGAGGAAGCTCACTCTGCAAGCACAGCTTAAGCTTCCTTCTAAACTCGACGCCTCAAGTCCTCAGAAGCGAACCTTACAACCTTCTCGAGAAGCTCCAGACAAGTTGCGGCCCAAGTGTGGTTGCTCTGCAGAGATAGCTGTGTTGGTGCAGCGCACCTAAGTGGAGCAAGATGAAAAGATGTACTGAGGCGACCGTGACACATACTACGTGTACTTCTTCAAAGCAGAAAACCGTGGGTGTTGCAAACAGTGGGAGATCCCGTGCTGATCAAACTGCGACGAGTGCCCGTTCTGGCATGCTTCATGCTCATGTGCGGAGATCCGTTCCATGTCGCCAGGATTGCATCTTGTGGCCGATCCCATAAAGTTTGGGCCTGCCCCACCACAGAAGCTCATTACCAACCTAGCTACTCACCGGTATCTTCGTGGCTCCCTGGAAACAGGGGATGGTCATACCAGGTGCCCTGAATCCCTGAATCCTAAGCCCCAGAACCCCAAACCCATAAACATAAACCCCCGGTCCTAGCCTTCATCCTAAAACGCCGGGCGGCCCAGTGTCCGGAACGCCAATCCAAGGGCCCTTTGGAGACCAGGACCTGCGAGCAGATATGATGATGAGGGATGGTGCAGATCATAACCTTCTAATAATAATACTAAGAATAACTAAAAGTACTAAATTGTCTAAATTGGTATCATCATCATTGGCCTTGTTCCTACTGTTGCTCGTTCGACATCATTGCTGTGAGTGTTCTTTCTCTTGCTGGATGTCTTCCGCATTCTGAGAAGGGATCGCAAGTCGAGACTAGGTCTAGAGTCTAGATGCTTTCAGGATCGACGGCTTAAGGGGTATCATTTTCAGGGACAAGAAACACTCAACGCAAAAACAACTAGACTCTAACCAGACTCAAGTAGCCAGGGACATGATCGCAGTAAGGAGAAGAAGATAACCTACGCAAACATAGATACGGCTGGTAAAACGAACAACAAGCCTATGGCTTCGAGTCGGCTCGGGCTGAAGTTCAGACAGCTAGCAACTTCGTGGATAGATTCCTTCTGCTTCCGGGAGATGGGGTTCTGGTGGAAACGCAATCTCCAGCTTACCAGACAACAGAGTGACGTTTCCAGAACGACAACACAGCAAGTGCAAGTGTGCAAGCTGCGGCTCTCTACTGCGTGCTGTGATCGTAATCGAAATGAAAATGGTGTGAGGATCTTGCCAAACCACATAGGAACCGCAGCCATGACCATACAGCTTTCTCCATCACAAGTTTCACCCAATGCCCAATGCTGAGAAGGTAGGCATTCGGGCGTAGCCTCTCGCTCACCCCTCACAAAATTTGATGTGTGGTTCGTTCGTTTTGTTTGGCGTATGATGACCAGCAGAAGCACCGCGACTACCTTTGCTGTTGTCGCAGTTCTGAGATTCATGCTCGCCTTGTGACCTTACATCGCTGGTGCTACTCACAGGAAGAAGCCGCGGAGTCGCAGCAAAGCAGAGTTGTAGAATGGCTCAGTTCGCGTACTGCCAAGGCTGCAGGGCCGGGCACAAATGCCGGCGAGCGTCGTGAACCCCACATCTGGACTTTGCAGCCACCACTGCGGATATATCTGCCTGGGTCCGACGGGTTGGACAAGACTCTGCACCCTGATGATGGCATGGAGCTTCAGGCTATAAGGCTATAACCAGCAGGATTATTGATATTGGTTCAACTTTCAGTTATGATTGTAGCAAAACATAACAGAGACTGTGAACCGGACAAGGCCGAATCAGCTTCATAAAATTGCTGGCATCGTCTGTCAGCCTCTACATCATCAAAGTCTTCTCAAGGAAGTTCCGCAAATACCATCTAACCCCACCCGAATGCCCTGAACCCGGCAGAACTGCTGCTGGGCACCCCGTGTAGTTGACCCCTCCGACGGTGGACTCCTTAGCAGGCATGCTGATCCTGATCCGCACCGCACGCTACTGCTACTACTACCACTACTACTACTACTACTACTACTACTACTACTACTACTACTACTACTACTACTACTACTACTACTACTACTACTACTACTACGACGGCTACGACTACGACTACAACGACTACTCTCACAACGTACTCGTACTACGCGCGCTACTCCTAGTGCTACGGCTACGGCGACGGTGCGACGACGACGACTACTGCTATGAGCACTTCGACGACGACTACGACTAATGCTGCTACTCTGCTACTCACGTCTCTTGCTACCACTACTCCTCCTCATCCTCCCCTGCTTCCGGCATGGTCGGACAGCCTCGTTCAAGACAGGCATCGTTGTATGTGACAACCTGCCGGCCATACTTGGCGATGAGGTACCAGGCAAACTTCCACCACTCCTGAACAGGAGTTGGGATTCGGCAGGGCCGGATTTGAGGCCTCGGGTTGCTTACGACACCGAATGGCCCGTAGAAGTCTTAGTACAACGAATACCCGTGTAGTGAAGAGTTCGCTCAGCGTGCAAGTAGTGCAAGCTGTGCCGCGTGAGAACTCATACTGAAAGCCGGAGAACAATACAGCATGTCGAAACTTTACCAGATCCAATGCAGGGATTTCAGGGCAGTCACGGCAAAACGTTCAGACCCGCGCAGTTTTGCAGTTTGTTGAATGGTCGGCCTAAAGGCGCAATGCGAGTCCACATGTAGCTGGAATACGTTAGCACTCAGTCAGGATTGCCATTGAGGGGGTGCATGTTGCAAGTCCCGGCTTTGAATCTGCTGTTTCCGGTGGCGAGGGTCCTGGACCTTCGCCTCAGCATATGCATTGGTCTTGGCAGCCAGTATAGCCAGATCATCCTCCTGATTGGCACATGCAAACACGGCAACTGCCCACCACCCAGCCACGCAACTTGACCGAAGCCGCAACCCTGCCCGAAAGCAATGAATCCGACCTGAAACCCTAAACCAGAAAAACCAACTACGTCCTCGCCGGAGCTGTCGACGGATGCTTCCCAAACCTGGCCAGGAACTGTCGCTCTTGCAAGGACGGGGCCTTGGGAAAACCGCAGACGAGTTTGTGGCCATGCTCCCCAACGAGGCCTGGAAGCCTCAGAACCCTAGACCGGCAGGAACAAATATCAAAGCCAGAAAACCCAAAAATCCTCTACGGATCGCGGGCGGCCTTCACCAGCTTCGCCGCCTCCAGCTCGATCTCGTTGGCCTTCGCGCGAGTCTCGCCGTTGATGAGCCTGGGCTGCTCCGAACAACGAAAATAAAAACGCCACTTACACAACTAAACTGGTGTTCTTCGTGAATTTGGTCGTTCGGCTTCTGCCGGGCAAGGCGTTGAATGGTGATTTGACTTCTGTGGCTCCTGGTTATCCTGTTTGTTCATAATGCTAGCGCCCAATCCCGAGAGTGACAAAGAGCCCTGAAGCTACAGGTCGCTGGCACATCCCGGAGCCTTGGTACGGCGCTCTCAAGGTTTATGTGGGCAGTTGTCAAAACCATGGTCCCTTTTTGGGTACCCTAAACATTAGGTGCCGTATTATATTAAGGACCCAAAAAGGGACCATAATTTTGACAACCACCCATGTGGGTCTTGGAGATCTCGGACTTCAGCATCAGGGGTGGAGTGGCCTCGTCTTAAAGCTGTTTCGGCTTCTTGCGACCTGGGCCCCTGGGCAGAACTCAGCTGCCGGGCAGCTGGAAGTTGATGTCGGAGTACTGGTTCACGAGGTTGAATGCCCACCAAGCTGCAGCAAGCCAACATTCGAGCTCCGGCTGCAAACTCCCGGCTGAACAAACCCAGGCTTCCGATCTGGGCCGGCCCTACTGCAACGTTCATCGCACCAGTGCATCTTTCAGTTCATGTTTTTGACGGAGCAGATGCGAACCTGCATCCGTGTTGAAGGTGGACATGTTCAGGCCGTGCGCAGTGTACATCTGCGGCCTGCAGGCACGCTCACGGTCGCGCAAGGCACACTGCTGGCATGTTGGGCCGCCTCTCTGCCTCCCACTAAGAAGCCACAAGTTGACTTCATTTGCTACTTGACAGGAGCCTCTCAGGATCCATCACAAGAAAATGCCACCGTAACTTAGGTGAAGTCGATCTCAAGCATTGTCACTCGTACCTGCGCTCAGCTCAAAGCGACACGCTAGGCAACCGGGCGCTGGGATGGGTGACGAGCCATAGAACGGCATCCACACCGTGCCGTGCGCAGCGTCATAGCCAAACCTCGCAGGTTTCTCGGGATGCGAGCTGGCAGTCTGGCTTGGGGGACGTTCCCAGCAACCGCATGGGCCTTGCTTAGTCATTTCGACCTCCTCTTGCATGCAAAACCCTGACGATGACGATGATTTCTGCAGCGTACGTCTCCAACGTGCGACTGCGACCCGCATGCATCGAGCGTGCGAGCGCCAACGACTCCATATCAAGAAAGCACACCATTGATAGCAGCAGGCTATAGCAGCAACATCTGTAAGTGAAGCAAGCGCAGCTTCGCAATCGTTATCCTCTCATGACAAAAGCAACAGCAGCACAATTCAATACCCATTCAACCAACAACAGCTGGCATAGGATCAGCAGTTGGAGCAGCAGAACCAGGAGCGGGAGTAGGGGTTGGCGGAGGGGAGGAGGGAGAAGGAGAGGCAGGACTGGATCCAGACTAGTACTCCTTGTGGTAGCAGCAGTAGAAGAACTGGCAACAGCAGTAGCCCCGAACCTGACTCGCCAAGACACTCGCCGTAAACCCTAAACCTCACATTCACAAGGCATAAACCCTAAACCCGAAAAAGTGTAAAATGCAAACCTTCCTCATTGACAGACTTCCTTGCATGGGCCCCGCAGAAGGACTATTTGCAGCAGTAGCGGTAGCAACTCCAGACTCCAGTTCCCAGCGGCCATGTGATGCTCCGCCGGTTTGGCCGAATCTCCAACCTGGGCGAAAAAGCAGAAGCTTCCTGAAGGGAGACGGTTCCCGCCGTTTCACGCCAATGTAAACCTCTGAAGAGAGGACTGCGATTCGGAGCATGAACCTTGAAGGCAATGGAGCTTCTATCGCATGTCTTCGAGACTTACAAACCCTTTCCAAATCGACGCAGACCTCAAATCAGGCCGATAATCCCGTGAACACACCTAATATATCTTGAGCCAAGGGTCACATACGAGTATGCCGTGCGAAACATCGAGATGGCTCGCTCCCACTGCCCTGAAACCAAGATTCCAGAGCTGGGAAACAAGGCGGTCTCTCTCCAGGCACTGTGCAACCATTCAGCATGTTATGTTGGCCCTTACGGCTCTCTTTTTCGCCTTCTTGGAGCTTGCATTGACCCGCCCTCTGCATGCTTGTCTCCCATTCAGGGCCTCCTGAATCCCTGAAAGTTCCACTATATGCAGAATGAATCTCCGAGGTGCCCTTGATGCCCGTGATGGGGCCCCGGTTGGGCGTGCCGTGCGGCCCGGCAGCCATGCCCTTGAGACAAGCAGGAATTGGGGTCGACAAGCAGGCGGTGCCAATAGATTTTGTACAGAAGTCCACATAGCTGTTTTAACGCATAGACATGCGAAGCGACAACTGGCTAGAAAAGTAGCAGCAACCAAAACTCCAAAGCCCCAAGCCCCGGCGAATCCGGAGCACCACTGCCACACCACCATCATCATTATCAATATCATCCTCAACAACCAGGTCAATGAATTCGAGGCGTCGGTATAAGTCTAGGTGAGTAGACCGAATGGACGTGTTATCTCTGGCACTTCTCCTGCACCATCCTGTCGTTCCCCAAGATCTTATCTCAAAACGTGGGGTCGGGTGTTCGCAATGTGGTGGCCTTCGTCAGGTCGTAAGGCGTGCCCTCGTAGTGGTCGCGCAAGGTGTTCATGACCTGTAGAGCCAGTGAGACGAACAAACGCCAAGTCGCGAAGCGAGACATGTAGTGGCATGCCATCACAACGTCAGGCATCGTCACAGGCCAGGTAGCTGGATGTTTTGTCTGTCCGTGCATGTGTGTGTGTGTGTGTGATTGTATTAAGCGGTCACATAAGAATCTCTTGCTGTACGCCGCTACACATTAGATTGAAGGCATTTGAATCTGTTTGCAGCTTGCCTGCACTGTAGATGATGATGTTCTCTTGTGCGAATGTGTCAGCCTCTACTCATGCATGCACTGTAAATGTTCCTCACTGCGCTCAAGTTGCTGCATGTTACGATGTGTTTTGGAGTATGATCTTACATACGGTCAACACCATCTGATAAAATAGGTGTGATGACACAATTTTGTGCGCATGCGTCTATCTGTGTCTATAGACCACAGAACTGCTGCATACTGTTCAGTGTTTCTTTCTATCCATGTACACTACCCACTCGTGTGCTAGTACTTGTCATCCGAAAGAATATGCTGTCTTTTCGCTTATGACCTCGCCTCTTCTACTGATGCCGATGTACTCATGTACTGTGCTGAATGAGGACATGCTAGCATGAAGGGATCTAATCAGTGTTCGTTAACATAACTACCAGCCTCGAAATAGCATGGCATATGCCAGTCTGCAATGCGGCATGGCAGCCATATGTCTAGACACAGGCACACCTATGTTGTATGTACAGGTTCTAATCTGATGGTCATCATCTTCAGTATCATCACCATCATATACAACATGGTGACCAGACTTGTTCAGAGTCTTTAAGTTCAAGAGTCCATCGCAAAACCCTGGCAACAAAAATCCTGATGAATCCCTACAGCAGACACAGCACCATGCAAGCAGGAATAACAAACAGCAATGATGGGGTTACTGCTTCAGTCGTCAGACAGCTTCCTCAACGAACCGGAAGGAGAATACCACAATCGGAACCGCAGTCTCCAATGCCGTGTCTTTACGATTAGCCACAGGCGTCGACCATCTTGCGGGCTCTTGCGCCCTAGGCGGACCATTAGTAGCTGCCTACATGCCTTGAGACCCTGAGGCCTTACGTGACTTCATGGCATCCCCTTTTTTGCCTGGATTCGAACCCCACTGATACCCTAAAGTCGATGAATGACTTCTGGCTTCTCGACAATGTGCTTTAACTGTAGGCGTTGATACTAGAATAGGGTTCTGGGCTCATTCTAGTGTAACTAGTATAACTACATAAGAACACTGAGGCAATACTGCTACTGATTATTCAGACACCCTGCTCCAAAACTTTAAAAAAACGCCCTCAACACCCTATAGAAGCCTTCACGAAATCCCACAACGCGTATCTCAAAGCCTAACACGCCCCTCTGTTCTCTCAGCTGTGCCATCCAGGGACCATCGATCGAGTCACAGAGCCACGCGGTGCCGGCACCGAGGGCGGATATGGATTCCTGGGGAAACTTTGCAGCAAATACAGAGCCATTCGGCGACAGTTTACAGGAAGGAAGTTTTTGGTTGGAATAAGGTCTTGGGGACTGTTTTACTCTAATGAGTCTAATGATACAGGGTCTCAAAGAGGATGGCACCACTCGTTGTTGCGGCACTTTTGTTGGTATGCTGGACTCCTGTCTTATTTTGCCAGCACCTACTTATGCACAGATCTCTTTGTGTAACGGCGTTTGACGCTTGAATTCGTAGGACCCAGGATATGACATCAGCACCTCGGCTTTTCCGTCATCTCCAGCTGCAGATCAGATTCAACTCAAAGGAATAGACCCGGTAACAAGCGCTGTCGAGGGGCTTCGTCTTGGGCAGATTTCCCAAGTTCGGATCCAACTTCTCACCTGGCAGCAGCCACAGTTGTAACCTTGGTTTTTAAACCCGTCAACCCCCTCAACCAATGACATCCGAACGCCTGTCCATACATACAGTCCATGACATGTTCGTGACTGAAGCAGCATCCTGACCCCTCTGCAAATCTGATTTGTATGGCGAACGATGTTTTATTGTGATGTTGCATGCACCGCTCGCTGCCGCATGCTTCCCTACGGCTACAACTGGTGATATTGACGGTGATGGTGGTGATTGCGATGATGCTTTTGATGAGATGTTGACCATGGGCGCCTTTTTTCGACAATGCATTGACTACCTGGCGTCAGTCTTATCTGTTCTGGCCTTCACCTGGGCTGAGAAGGGAAAAGATGCGCCACATGCGCCGGCCACTGTAGTAGGCCATGAGGTTCCTGTCTGACGGGTTTTAGTTTGTAGATTGCTTGAAGCTTGGCTTCGGGGATTGAGACTTTGCAGGGCGGAAGCCTGCTCAGGGGGCTGGTTTAAGACTTCCATCAGTGACAAGGCTTGCAGGATGAGGGTGCATGTATCGGGCAGGGGCTTCAAGTCGGGAATCCCAATGGCGATAAGGAAGCTGCACGTCTCATCTACGCCTCGAGCAAGCTGCTTCTGAAAGAGACTGGAGCCATTGAGTCGTTCCAAGCAGGGTGCCGAATACTAATACTAATGCTAATACTAATACTAATACTAATACTACATACTAATACTACATACTAATACTACATACTAATACTAATACTAATGCTAGTGCTAGTGCCAAGACTAATGCTAATACTGACACTAATTACCAATCATCGTCATCATCATCACTACCAGCCGTTTTGTATGCTCGTCTTCCTACTGCTGCAATCTTACTTGATGAGCTCTTATGCATCTGCCCCACTGCGCAGCCACCCCCGGGGGGCTCCTGATGCTTGCGATGTCGTCAATGGCCGTGTTCTCTGCCTTCGTGTCTCTGTAGCTCCGGCTCGGACAGGCAGGAATGCTGCTTCAGCGTTTTAGCAAGAGACAAGCGACCGTCGGCTGATAGCCATATGCACCGAAGAAGTCGAAGACACCTTTCAATCTGGACAAAGCCAGGCTCAGTTCAGGGTTACCAAAGGCAGGGACTGCCTCTGCCACAAAGGATGAAGCACACATGAAGCCCCCCGAAGACCCCTTGGCCCTCACAAGCAACCCCAGTTGGAATTTTGAAGTGGCTTAGAGGTCAGGAGTCGCTTAAGGATGCTCGCTTTTGTTCTCCGGCCTGGGAACTTCGCTTCGGAGGGATGCCACCAACCCTTCTCCACAGCTAAGTCGGTGACGCCTCCGCAGCTGCCGTCTCTCCTAAGCCTCCTACTCCCAAATCCCCAAAAGCCCAAACGACGAAGACGGCTGTTCTCTCTCTAGCATCGTGGCTGTCAAGGTCCTACAACCCTAGGTCTCTTGCAGTGCAGTGTTTGCATGGGGCAGTAGGACCTTTTGTAACTTCCTGCATTCTGGTCATATCTCCTGCGGTCCTACATGTTTCGTGCTAGTCGACTAGTTTCATACCAGTTTGCCAGAATTACCTCAGGTCTGGTGACCTCGACTCCGGAAAGGGCCTATGTCGAACTCCTAGTCCCGAATCCTTGAGCCTGCAATTCCATGCAGCAGTGGTCGCACGGATTTCAGACTTGCGAGGGCATGCTTCAGGTCTGACGGCCTCAATCCTGAAAATAGACCTGCACAAGTCTCGTGCATACATGCCCTTGTCCACTGCTCGGCCAGAGGCCCATAACCCACTAGAATCCCTGTGAAAAACGCATAAAACCCGAAAGCCTTAACCATCTCTAAACCCGGAAAGAGCATCCCCCACCTGGGCTGAAGAGATTGTTCTCGGAGTCCGACAGATTCTGAGTGCCAGGGAACAATAGCTCTTTCGTCCTTTTGCAGACTAGCTCGTGAGCAATGCGACAATTCATAATCCGATTTAGACAGCTAAACGGTGCTGTCATAGAGACAGTTACTGCGGCTGTCTTTGTACTGTCGAACCAGCAGAACAGCAAGTTTAAGTTGTAAAGGCTGCAACGCTTGTTGGAACTATTGTTGCGAAAGCGATGTTGACTCTGATAACAACGGTGGTGGTTGCTATCGTAGCTATGTGCTGCTGCTGATGATGATGATGATGGTCACGGCTGCTGATACCCGCAGCGCATATGCTACAGCAAATTGATGGATACAGCTGTGCACATGCAAACATGATGATGACTGCTCATTACCCCGGTCTCTCCTGCGCGGCATGACCTGCTGTATCATGTCGTGTCACATCTTAGAACAGGTCATGTCGCACACCTGACTCCGTCACTACGTCGAGATGTTACTAAGACCTGCTGCGTACTCGCATATGCACCTGTGTTTTGATCCGAATACGCAAAGCAGAAAATTCAACCACATATCCTGGCACCTTGCCCTATAAACGGCAGACATCGCGTCAAATCGCTAGTGAGGCCGCAGAGCCAGGCTATGTCAGGCTCAAGACGGCGAAGACAGAAAGCAATGGGCAGGAGTGCATTCTTCGTGGGTAAATGATAATGATAATGACATGCTGTGAGCAGAATCTGCTCAAGGCAAAGTGTTGCAGGTATCGAAACTTAATTGTGTCAACGTGCCGTTTGCACCTTTTGCGCTGATCGAACAACATAGGATTCTGCGTTTGGACATTCGACGAAGGCACACCAAGTCTGTAAAACCATCATGGTCAACTTTCATTGCATGATTAAAGGTACACTTTCATCCGCTAGTTGTGCGCTACTGCGAGTCGCATGACAGGCAAATGCGTCAACATCATGGATGCAACTATGAAAGTTATCAATGCATGCATACGAATACAGATGGATAGTCTACCACGGGTGAGTACAGCTAGGTGCAGATACGCATATGCCGTACTGGACTATATCTGTGTAAGATGTATGCTTACACACGTACCGTGCAAATACATGCGTACTTACACCTGGCAGCATCAAGTACATAGATACATATAACTCTATATACATATATGTACAAACAAGCATCCACCATGCTTTCGGAGCAGTAAGACAGTAAGACCAAACACAGCTGGGATGCCAGACTCCGGATGGTGAACGAATTTCCAACAGCCACGACATGGTTGCTGGGCACACCTTGGTTGCTTTGTGATGTCAGTGTTACTCGTGGCCCACGCGCATGGAAACACGCCGGCCGAATGGGACCACCTTTCCGCGGGCGCTATCATGAGGCACGGTGTATAATACGTACTACATAAGTAGATAGTATAAAGCATATAATCTACAGCAATACGTAGCACGTTGTCGACCCCACGTTCGTCACGAAAGCTAGGTCCAGGTCCTCTGCGGGCAGGTTCGATCCAATTCGATAGGGCTGGCTGCTAATCCCTCCGCATTGCAGCTGGCTGCCCAGCACCAGCATGACTGGCAGCTCAAGATAGCCACATGACAAATCCTTACCTGAAGCCTTGAGACGATAAACCCGGCCGAAGCTCTGACAAAAAGATGCCAGCTGAAGGGGCAGAAACGCTTCCTCTCAAGTCTCAGGCACGCTGGGCTGCCCAAATGGCACTGGCATTGTTCCTGGGCTCGGTTAACCGATAACCAGAGTGTACAATACGACGTGGTATTGGGAACAGTTTGGGAAAAATGAAACCACCTCTACTGCTGCCGCTGCCACTACCACTGCCACTGCTACTACCACCACTCCTGCTCCTGCTAGCTCGACCACTACAGGGCAAGTATCTACACATTCCCGGGCATTGCTGCATGTTGCTGTGTGTCATCCGTCTGACTGGTCCACTACAGCCCGAAGGCCTAAGGTTGCGGTGGATGCATACACCCGAAGTGTGATCTAGAATGACATGCTCTTCACCACAAACGGTGTCAACTCCAGGCGACGCAAAACTCGTCATCTGAATATACGTCACAGGCGCCTACCAGTCAGAACGTTGAAGATCCACCTCGGCAGCGCTGTTGCCGGAGTGGGCTCGGGAGATAAAGAAAAAAACAAAGTAACCACCGGAGAACAACAAAAACTGTAAACATCATAATATACTCTGAGGCTAGGATTACCATCCTTGGCGTTGAAATCGGCTCCCACGGAGTCTTCATCGCGTGAAGAGGAAATTCACGTGATGCCAACGGTGTTATCTCTCACTCTCTCTCCCTTTGTCCCCTCTCTCCGGCATGTGGATGCTGGCATCCGCCGCTGTGCACCGGGTCTGCGGGCTCGCACTTGTTTTCCACTGTCTTGCTGTCGATACGGTCGTGTTGGCGCTTATCATTGCCACATGAGCAGCAAAGAAAATACTAACAACGACAGCATGGCCGTTGATCATCAGTAGCACCGGCAGCGGTAGTATCAGTACTACAGTGCTAGTGGTACCACTAGCAGTCCCGGTCGCAGTCGCGGTAAGGAGCATTTGATATTGTTTGCGCCGCAATGCCAAAACAACTGACTATTCCGATAGATCCTGTCGCTCTTACCACTGTTGGAATCGTCTAGACAACTACTTCCAGCGTCCCAGGCACAGTTCTCCAGGCTCCGCATCACCGACGACCAGCACCTCGCTGCTGCCACTGTACCTTGGCATTTCCGGCTAAGGCATCCCGTGCTCGGGGTGAAAGCCTGGTTTCGACTTCGCTCTCATAACGTGACGAATCCTGAACCACAGAACGACATTAACTACATGAGCCCGGCATAGCCTTAGACCGGCAACGCTGGCTTGTCGGGGCTGCCCGAGTCGGAGCTGAAGAAGCCCTGGTCGACAGCAATATCTCCTCGGTTGTTTCTGCTGAGGGTGGGGTCACAGCATCTGTCTGTCTGTCTGCCTGTCTGTCTGTCCGTCTCTGTAAGCATACGTGTATCAGTGTCCATACATAGATACATACATACCTTCTTGCATGCACACATACATACATACACACATCCACACAGAGATGCACACGCACGTATGTATGCATACACATCTTTATGCATACTTATAGACACGCACATATATGCATACACACACGTCTGCACACACACACACATACCATACACACAAACACACACGCCACATGCCTAACACACACGCAACGTACCATACACAACATACACAGCGTACAAAACAAACAGCACACACAAACCACAACAAACATCCAAAGCATGCACAAGATACATGCCATACATGCGGTGCACACCACACATACCGTACATATCAACCTTACCAGACATGCCATGCAAAGCGTACATACCATGTATATGCATAATGCCGTATAACATAGTATGATACACTATGATACAAGATAATATCATATAACCAAATGTACTGTTATAGACTGTTATATAGTAGGTACATTATCGTATGTTATAGTTTACTTGGTAGAAGATGACAAACTATAATAGGATGCAACAAAATAGAACATGTTCCAGTGTCTAGCTGGATTTTGTGCATGCATACATATGTGTGTATATATATATATATACACACACACACTCATCCAAGCGTTACATACACGAACCATCATGCGCTCTGCTCCAATCCCAGGCGCCCATCGTCTGCACGGCACACCTGGCAGTACGACAGCGTTCCATCGCTAGCTTTGTGAGGTCCTCGATCCCGACTCGACAGAAGCCTGGGCGGCTTCTTGCACTTTGAAGCTTGTCAGCCCTCGGGCAATCTCGCCATTGTCGTCGATCAGGTCTGCACGTTTATCTCAGGACTCAACTTGATTCGATCGCTGAACCATGACAAATCAAGGCAAAAGCGGGCGGAAAAAGCCGCAAGCCAGATTCCCAAACCGCAATCCCGAACACGGATCAGATGCCCGAGGTACCCCAGGGCTTGTCGGGCGTTGCCGGCCAGCCAACTGTCATACCAGTTCCGGTGCTCTCTCCGATGGAGAGGCCCCACCTGGAGCCAATAGCTCAAAAATACCCAGCAGGTCAGTGATGAGAAAGTATATCGAAGGTGGACAGGAATACACACTGCTTTGAATGAGCATTACTCCTGCTACTGCTGGTACTTCCACTACCACTGCCACCGCCACTGCTGCTACTACGACCACGACTGACCACGGCTGAGACGAGGACGAAGACGACGAAGGTTACATGAAAGGGGTTCCTTGTAGAATGAAACTGCGCCGACCAGAAAACCCAGAAGCCAACAGCCCTAAAGGGTCACCCGGCCACAACTTGCCCCCAAGAGCTTCTGGTCATGAACCACTTGTGGGGATCCTCAGGCAAGTGGCTCGTTCTGCATGCCATACTCAGTGTCCCAATATGCCCAGGTCTCCTGGTCGTCAGGTTTGGGCATCGGGACACAGCGGACTGAGCCGGCCAGCTATCACCCACCAAAACACCCCGAAACGTCAACACTCAAAGCCCGACCCCAAAATAGACTCCACTGCCACACCGACCTCCACTTGAGGGATCTCTCCGATGGGCACGAACTCCTCGGCCCATGCGCAGTTGGAGATCCTACTTTCCACGCTTTGGGATCTGGCGCTTCAATAAGGCGAGGCTCGATATCTCGAGTGTTGATGCTCATGGTCCGAAGCGAATGTGGGTGTATTTGCGGGGTTGGCTGCCGTATAGCAGAAAAGCAGGACTGAGCTTTGAGATTCAAGCTGTGGCGGCCTTGTATGATCCGAAAAAGTTGCATGGTTGGAGCAAGTCTCTTCTTGACCATCCACCGGCTCGTATGCAGGCCCAAGCGATGATGTCACCATGCGTGGATATGGGATATGCCTTTGCTGCACAGGATTGTCTAAACGAGTCGAAACTCTGTGCACAGATTCTGGAGACTGTGAAGTGGGCTGGCAGCATGACTGGGGCATGCATAGCAATCGCGTGCGGGACACTGCCCCTGCACGCTGGCGCTCTGCTCTTGCAAAAAATCACCCTCTGCAAGCGGGACTCCTCTGCCAACGCTATCTGGCACGCTCTAAAGAAAGCCAGAAATCTGGACCACCGCATAGACTTTCGATCAAAGTCTAGTCCCAAGAGGCCACTCGAACAGCTTCCGGGTGCTGCCTTTCGGCCACTTCTGCCGTGGCACCCGGACCTCAGCTGAGAGCAGTCAAGGCCGGCTTCCGCTCGACTTTCTTCACCTTCGCTATTACTGTTGTTGCCTGGAGCAATCATACCCTGCAAAGCTATTGATCTAGAGTCTAGGATAACTTTGCAATAGTATGGCGAGAAGCAGTTGGGATTCGTGCTTTCTTCGTTTAGCAAGACTTGCCGCCTTGGGCTCAGCTGACAAACCTACTCGTAAGCTTCACAAAGTAAAACTAAAGACCGAATCTCTCACCGCCGGAGGCAAGTCCGCGGGGAGTTTCCCTCGTTGTAGCAGACATACCTCAAGTCGCTAAATTCTGCAGCTCAGCTGCCAAGCGCACGTCCGTGGTGCTTGGGCCGCTGTCGTCGCTGTGGCTCACCTGGGATCGATCGGGTATCCTCCTGCGAACTTGGGGCGAACGATCCGAGTGTGGGCTGCAATTCTGAAGTTAGTCGCCCTGAACTTTCGTGTGCCACGAAGAGCCGGACCTACGCAGAATTCTTTTCCCTGGAAAAACCTCTCCCAAATCAGCTGAGGTGCTATGGGAAAGCCTGTCGCGCTGGCATCTTTCCTGCAAGGTGAGCTTACGTTGACAATTCTTCAAATTATGGTCCGTTTACGAGCAGCGTGCACAGACTGGAGTTTTCTCCAGCATCAGGGGGCTCCAAGTTATCACAACGTCACTAGAGTCTGGAGCTAGCAAGCGAGGCGGGTGAGGTCTACGGAGTCTACGGAGACTTTCAGGTGCTCCGAGGTCATGGGAGGCTACGAGGCCCCTCAGCGACGGATGCAGGTGGCACACTGGCCCAAATTTCTTCCGGGATGGTCTGCAGCCCAATGCAACCAGGTCGCCCCACTGCCACGATCGTGCAGCCGTGCGCACCAGCCAAGCCGAGCACTGCACAAATCCGCCGCATGGCTGGCAAATGCTGATTTTGCAGGTTTTGTGATGTCATGCTGAGCTCATATTTGGAGTTGCAAAGCGTGAAGATGTGTTAAGCGAGGGTCTCGAGGACAGTGGCTTACCTAGGTTGCCTATGGCTCTTTCCGCCTCTGCTGTTTACTGCAAGCTTGGGGTCGGTGGCGTGTCCTTCACGGACTCCCGGGGCGCGGGGCAAAATGGCTGCAAGAGCCAGGCAACAGCGTCTCAGCTGGAATAAGACATCAAGGTATACTCAGAAAGCTGGGCGAAAGCTCATATGTACTGTAAGATTTGCACAAAAGAGTATAAGCTCAAGAGTTCCGCGGCTCAATTACCTCAGACACTATGTCCCCCATCTCTTCCATCGTTACTGGAGCTAGTGCGTGCCGGGCCTCTACTCATCGACTGCACTCTAGTCGCTAGAATTGATTCATTGATTCTGCCAATGGAGACCTTCTGTTGTTGTGAGTGGCGTCCTTAGACACGGGTACCCAGCATCCGACAGACTTAGAGGTAGGAACCGAAGGCCTTGAGCCTTTCACTGTCCGGGCGCAATGCGACAAGCGCTCTGCCCTGTAGTACACCTACGAAGGTGCTGTAAGAGGCCAATGATTGCATCACAGTCTGTGCAATAGTTGAACTTACACTACAGCTCTAATTATCATTGCCACTATGTTAATATTCGCAGGGCAGTGAGAACTACTGCTTGCTACCTCTGTTTTTTTGAACAAAGAACTACCATTGCTACTTGCCTTTATACATGTGATATGAAAACGCCAAGAGTGTGTACATACATATGCACGCACATGTAGGTACTGCTAGTTTTGCACACATACAAAAGCACTTTGGGGTTTGCATCTACGCATGATCTTACTATACACGTACACACCATGCAATGCTTGAGCTGCAGGTGAGGCTCACTGCATTCATCTTCAGCATCTGCCTCAGTTGGCCGATTTTTTTCTGGCTCTGCTTATCCCATCAAGTGTCGGGTCTAGAGCGGATCTTGGTAGGAGCCCGGCCCCTGCACTCTGCTTGGACTGAACAGGTCGAAGAAGTCCTGTGCACTCCCGGGACCCATTGTTTCGGGCGATCGGACAGGACTTGGAGGCTTATTCGTTGCGGTTTCGTTTGGTCTCGCTTCAGGATGAGCCGCGTTCCCCACATCGCAGAAAAGCTTGGAAAGGGTCCCCCTTCTCTCCAAGCTTTCCTTTCATCCTGACTTGGTCGCAACTGTGGGTTCCGTTTTGAGCTGACCACGCCAACAACTTCACAAGTTCGCAGCTTGGTTCGGCCGGACCCGTCGGAACGAGCGGCTGCAAGCATTCCAGTTGTAGTTTTGATGAGGGAGAGTGCGTAAACAGAAATGCATTGCTGAACCAAACCTTTGCAGCCTGAGTAACAGCCAACCCTGCAAGCCACCGCGAAGCAAGGGCACTGCCTTAAGACTTTGCCTTTGTCAGCCTCCCTCCAATTTATATGAGACGTTGTGGCACCGAGTGCAGCACCGATGATGAACACCGCCATTGCTGAGGCCGTCTGTTCATACGACGCCCACCGCGGAAGCACTCAGGCAAAAAGAACCGTCGACGACTTCTGGAATCACGACAGGGGAGTTTCCGAAAACAGGGCACCCTAATTATAGTACCCTAAACAGTAGCCCAAAATAAGGTACCCCTCATTTTCGGAAACTCCCACAGAGCTGGGAAACGCAGAAGGCCCGAGACTGGCAGTGAAGGATCCTCGTGAACCCGCCGGTCGGGTGGGATCGAAGTGTCACTGTGCTTAAAGGATCATGGGACTTAGTAAGTACAGCGACAGCACTACTTAAGAAAACATTGGATTAAGAAAATGAGACTCTGGATTTTGCGGTTGATAGGGTTCTACATAAAATACCAAGCACTGTTAAAATAAGAAAACCAGCGTACCCTCGTCTGCGAGTCTCATTTTCTTATTTCGCTCTGTCATAGCTGGGTTCTGGAACAAAGGAGAATAATAAGAACATGCCAGAGTCTCGTTTTCTTATTTAGGTGGGTTCTGGCACGAAGGAGAATAAGAAAATGCCAGAGTCTCGTTTTCTTATTTAGGTGGGTTCAGGAACGAAGGAGAATAAGAAAATGCCAGAGTCTCGTTGTCTTATTTAGGTGGGTTCTGGAACGAAGGAGAATAAGAAAATGCCAGAGTCTCGTTTTCTTATTTAGGTGGGTTCTGGAACGAAGGTGAATAAGAAAATGCCAGAGTCTCGTTTTCTTATTTAGGTGGGTTCTGGAACGAAGGAGAATAAGAAAATGCAGAGTCTCGTTTTCTTAAGGTGGGTTCTGGAACGAAGAGAATAAGAAAATGCCAGAGTCTCGTTTTCTTATTTAGGTGGGTTCTGGAACGAAGGAGAATAAGAAAATGCCAGAGTCTCGTTTTCTTATTTAGGTGGGTCTGGAACGAAGGAGAATAAGAAAATGCCAGAGTCTCGTTTTCTTATTTAGGTGGGTTCTGGAACGAAGGAGAATAAGAAAATGACAGAGTTTCGTTTTCTTATTTAGGGGGGTTCTGGAACGATGGCTGATCCTGGGGCCTCCATTGAGCCTGATACAGCCTCGTTTGGAGGAAAACTGTTTGAACGAATGTAGAATGGGATACGATGCTGCATTATGACTGTGTTTGAAGATATATGCCTTTTTTTCAAGATCTTGGGCCTGTTGGGTTTGATGTTTGGGGCAAGTCTTCGCTTGTTCATCTGGGGGTCTTGGGCCCTGGACATAGCTATGTAAGAAAACGGCCTTAAGAAAACCAGACTACCCTGACCCATCCCAGATTAAATATTCCCATAAAACCAGCCGCTATCAAAATAAGAAAACCAGACCCCCCTCGTCCCAGAAAGCATTTTCTTATACAGCGCTCCTGCTGTAGGTTATAACTGGGGTTATAAGTCCCCTAAGTGGGGATATCCTAATTATAACCTACTTATAACTTATAACCTTACTTGCTAAGTCCCGTGAGCCTTCAAGTACAGTATGACTACGGTGCCGAAGCACTTGAAATCGTCGTTCCATAGTGCCTGCTGGCAACTCTTTGGAGCGGCCCCTCATGAGTTTGAAGTCGTCTGTCGATGCGATAAGCATAAATGCATGCGAAAGCAATGAATGCCGACCAAAGCCAACCCGACAACCTCGAACCCCATAATCCATAGCAGCGGCCCTAACCCTAAACTACTAAACTCTAAACCCCAAACGGCGTCCTTCATATCTGGCTCTGGGCGTGGATACGGAAGGAGTCCGAGCTCTCTGCATTCCTGGCGAGAGGAAAAGGCCGAGCTGCCTCGAGCTCTTGGGCCGGGGCCCTCATCACCGCTTGTCTGGATGATGATGATGATGATGATGATGACGCCGATGACGATGACAAAATGACGGGTGACATGCGAATATATGGTGCCGCGTCGCCGCGTCGCAGCCCCCGCCCCCCCATGGTATGCCCCCCCCCCGGCCCCCGCACCCCAAGCCAGGCCTCTCGTCCCAGCAAACAATCACACGTCATCCACGCAACTCCCCGCCTCTCGCCTTGGCAAACGGGTGACAGGGAACCACAGGGGCAGGGTGTGGAAGGGTAACCCACACAGGGAACCACAGGGCCCCTTCCCCTTCCCCTCCCTTCGACACACAAATGAGAATGATGGGGATGATGTTGTGCACAATGATGTTGATGTGCTATTCGCAGTCTGGCTGTTGGTGGTACCTTTGCTCTGATGTTGCTATGGGCTTCGGCACCGCATGTTCATTGCTTTATTTCGTTGAAAATCGTGCTTGGCTTGTGTTGTCTTGCGAAAACTGTATCGATCGTTGTCATTCCAAGCCAAGTTTTGGTTGGGTTCGTTGGAAGTAAGCCTGAGGCTGTTTGAATGATTTTCATTCGGGACTCTCGAGCAAGGGACCAGAGGAGAGTGCGGATAGGGATCATGACCACCATCTTCGTCATCATCATCGCCATCATCTGCATCACTACCATTGGCTTTGGAGCTCAGGGCAAGTCAGAGTTGAGTGAATTGTAACACATCCTACGGTCCAAACCCTTAGCAACCGAACGCCCAACCAGCCATCGCCATGGAAGGGGTGCAGCTGACCGCAAGCACACCACAGGGACCACAGGGGGGGAGGGGCGGATACCATGGGGTGGGGGGGGAGGGGGGGCCCAGCAGCGCTGCACCATATATAGAGGAGGAGGAGGAGGAGGAGGAGGAGGAGGAGGCGGAGGAGGAGGAGGAGGAGGAGGAGGAGGAGGAGGGAGGAGGAGGAGGAGGAGGCGGAAGACGACGATACACAAGCTGGCTAATAAAGAGACGGTGGTACATCGGTACATGCCGTTGCCTGGACATTATACACAGACACAGCCATGCCCCGTGGTCGTGTTCAGCCAGAGCCATGCACATTCAGAGTCAACAGTGGCCATCTGTTTGATGCTGCTGCCATTCCCGCACTCTCTGCTGATCCTATCGGCAAGAGGCGCCTTCGGGCCTACCCATCATCACAAGCCATGTTGTAAGGGTTTCCGCTCGTCCCAACCTGGCTGCCTCTACACTTTAGATTCTCAGGCCGAACCAGAGAAAAAACACAACATGGCCTTACAGCTCATTCAACTCTTCGAGGCTGGCGGTAACCGGCAAGTGGTGACCCCAAACGACCGAAAGCCCGAACCCTGAACCCCAAAGCATTCGGGCAGCTCCTCCACGGATGTTCCGACCTCAAGGATGAAAAAACAACAACATCATGGAAAAAACATAGTAAGCATAACAATAATAATTGCATACATTGGTAGCAGTAGTAGTAGTAAGAAGAAGAAGAAGAAAAAATAATACTCGTCATAATCATAATTATCATGATGATTACCACAATAGCTCCTCTGAACCCTCTGACGTGTTGGGCCGAGACAAGGAGCCAACACACACTTTGAAACTCTCGGGGTTTAGGGCTTTAGAGGGTTTCCCGGTTCAGGATTTAAAGCGTGTAGCAATTCAGGGGCTTAGGATTGGGGTTTCAGTCTGAGGGTTTAAGGCATTCAGGGCTTGAGATTTGCTTGTTGAACATCTTGTTGCGCTTCCCCTCCAAAAGTATCTGCAAGCAGCTTTGATCTAGGGGATTTCGGCTCTGGGGTTTGGCTGCTTGTCGCCGCTGAATGCCCGGAAAACCAGAAGCTGAGTTCACTGCTGCTGCCGCAGCGACCTCGGCAAGATGCGCAAGGAAAAAACTTCAATTTGCCCGGCTGCCAAGTATCACGAATCCCCTGCTGGCGTCTGTATGCAGAAGGATGAACAGTCCTACCAGAGCCCAGTGCGTTTCGGCAAACAGTCACAGCCCAGCCGCGAAGAAGAGAACGGGCAGCAGCATCAGCAGTACTGGCATGCCCAGAAAATGCTTCACCTCCGGGGCATGGCGGGGTTGAGGGTCAGGGATTCAAGATTTATGGTGCTTCAGAGGCGTGCGGGAACTTGAAGCATGTGATCGAGATGCGAGCGCATAGGCTCTAGGTCTCTAGGTAAGATCCACGATATGGAGCTTGCATTCTGCACCGACAAAAGTAAAGGAATCTTACCCTTCCGATCCGTAACAAGCCTCAACAGTATGTTTTGGAAACGGAAACTTTGAAAGCTTGAAGATAACAGAGCTTGAGTTTTTCGCAAGCGAGAAAGCTTGCAGTTCCAAAACTTGAATGCCTCGCGAGTCGAAGTTCGAACGAGACGAACGAAAGTTCGCAACAGCTTGTCTGTCTCCGCAACGGTGCAACATCTGTATACAGGAAGAACCTTGGAAATGTGCTTATGGATGCAAGAAAGGTGCAAGCCTACCTGTTCGAACGGGCTTCGAAAGTGAACAAAGGCAGTATTAAATCCTTGCTGGCCTTGACTACAATGATTCCAATGCTTCCCTTTCCTTTGCCATGTTGATCCTTTTTGCTTCGTCCTTGCCACTGCCCTTTGTGCCGATCTAAAACCGCCCTTTCCTCAGTCGTTTGTTGTCACTATTGAAGGATGTAATACATCGAAGCCGTTTAGCACTGCGGAGCTGGTTCCCCCACTGCACAACATAGGACAAATATCTTTACAGCCCTCAGCCATGGACCTTGCAACACACTGTAGCCTTAGATGCCGAAGCCCACGACAAAACCCTTGAGCACGCCTGGAAGTGCACTAAGAGCATGGCCAGAGTCATACCCTGAAGATGGGTTTGGGGGGGCTTGGTTCGCTTCTCCTTTTCAAGAGCTGTCGTCTGCAAGGGCTCCTCCGATCCGCGTAAATCTGCTTCACGGACTGGGGGGCTAAATTCAAGGCAAGCGGCTGACAGGAGGAGCAGCTTCAGGTGGAGCCTGGCAGACTGCGCGCATAGAACCCATCCGCAGGTCTCATGTGAAGCGCTCTGCCCATGTCAAACTCGACCCCGTTCGAGGTTACAAGTGGCCCTAGCAGGCAGTCGTTTCCACAAGTAAGAGACGAGCGCATCACTCATCCCATCGGGTTGAGGGTTTAGGGATGAGAGCCTAGTTTAGCGTGCAGGGCTTAAGGTTCAGGGATTCCATGGAGGCCGTTGACAAGTTGACTCCTGTTGCAGCAAGGCAGGACATGAACCTCACACCCAGGTCATAGAGTAGATCTTGAGCCTTGAACACCTCAAGCTAAACGTCTCAAACTGCTACAAGGCCACAAAGCCCTACGCTATGCCAGCTAACCTGTCACTGAATCTCTGGAGTGCCAAATCCAAACAGGCTTCATTCTGTCCTAACCGCATCCTAAAGCCGTCAATACCCTGGCCTTTAAAGCCCCTGAAGCTGCCATGGTTGCTGAGAAGAAACCCAGACCCGGACCTCACACCCTTGAAAGCCCTGAACTCCTCCCGCCCCAGCCCAAAGGGTTTTGAAGGGCTCTGTCGGAACTCAAGAATACGCGAGCTCAGGGATCTAAGGTTTGAAGGAAGCAAGGGCTAAGGATCTTGGGGCTCCGACGCTGGATCCAAGAGCTGCAGCAACGTCTCAGGTCCATTCACCTGCAAGTGGCAGCAGTCTTTGCAAGGGGCGTAGCCTGGGAGGATTTGGCCCTTCGGGCCCGGGGAACTGGGCGGCTGGTTTCAGAGCTTTGGTGCCTTGGGCTGAGAGTTTGTAGGTAGAAACCACGTCTGAAAGGAGCATGGACGGAGTTTTGGGCATTGTGTCGATCGCGGAGTGTTTCGGTGTCTTGCAGGGGTTCCGACTCAGGGCAGAAAGCGGCTGTGCTGAGTCCCGGTACCTAGCCCAGCCCTTTGCGCATTAAACACTAAGTGCCCTAGCTTCGTTCCGAAGTCGCAGCCCGGCGCTGTAAAACCAAAATTTTAAAATCGAAACCCTAAGACCTTGGCACGACAGTACATACGATGCCGGCCAGGCCTTATGGCGATGAGTCTTCAGATAAGCGCACCCTGAACCTTAGTCCTCCAACACCCCGGATTTATTGAGCTACTGGCCAGTCCTGCTCTTGTGATATGGGAGTTTCCGAAAATAGGGGACCCTATTATTGTACCCTAAATAGTAAGATCCTTGTTATGGGGACCCCAAAATAAGGTACCCCTAATTTTCGGAAACTCCCATGTGTTTCGTTCGCTATAGCGTATGGAAGCACACGCCTCTCGGCCAGTGCCGATGCTCAGGCCAGCCGCTAAACAGAAGTAGCCAATGTAGCCTGGGGCCGAAGGGGGAGTTTCCGAAAATAGATGTATAGCATTTTAAATAGTAGGATCCTTATTATAATTTTGGGGAAACTCCCAAGTGTCTCGGTTTGTCAGAGGCCCCTGTGAGGATCGCAGAAGTGGAAAGGGAGGCTTAGGAAGCCACGGGACGTTGAGGAGTTCCTCCCCTGAGGTTGCATGGACTTGGGAGTTTCCGGAACTTGGGGCTGCCTTCTCCGTCAGAAACCAACAGATCCTTGGATCGGGCTTTGAAGGGGACTCTGAGAGGATTCTTTCAGTTTGAAATGTGGTTCTCTCTTGGGGCTTCGGTGGAAAGTGCCGCCCTGGTGAAATAGCTTCGAGGGTCTTGGTGCGTTGTGTGTTCGGGCCGGGGGTCGGTAACAGCGGCGGCAGTGCAGAGGCAGAGCAGAAGTTGAAGCAACACAGCAGCAGCAGGAGTGGCATGGAGCAGCAGAAGACACAGCGGGCAGCAAGAGCAAAGCGAAAGACGAGGTAGTCGCCGTCACGAGCAGGCCAGTTGCACCTGTAAGCTTTCTGGAGTCCGGCTATGAACTCAACTCTCAGGCGCATCGGGGTCAGCTCGTCCTGCCGAGGAGACCTACTTTCGGGGCCGAGCCGATCCACAAAGTATGGGAAATCTACCCCGTTGGACAGCCGTGGAGAATAGTCGGCAGCACTTTAGCAACCAGAAAGACCTGTATGTTGGTAGCCTTCCTCTTGCAATGAAACCTCAGCCACCGATGAAGCCGAGTGGCCCAAGTATCCTCCTACCACCGGCAAGGGCAGCATTTGGATGTACTGGCTCCTTGGTGGAACGGTTTTGAACTTTGAGGGCCAAACTTTCACCAAGCCACATCACAAGCTGATCCCGAAGACAACACCCTTAACCCGGACGCCCAACCCAGATCCTTTTACTACTTGGGGTCCCTGGCTGTGTGGGCCAAGGCTCACTTTGGAACAGCCGACGACGATGAGGCCAATCCCAACGATTACGGTGCCTTGCTTGTGTCGTTGTCACGAGCATATGGCTCACAGGGCATCGCAAGGCCTACCAGATAGGTCGTGAGGCTCAGCCCCTAACTGCAAACCTACGTCGCTTTGCCCCCCCCCCCCTTCTTCCAAGTCTTGCAACACCTCGAATCTGAACAAATGGATTGTGAAAGGGCACCTAAACAAGCAGTCCCCGCTGAGTCCAAATTAACGTGCGTCGCACTGTGGCGGGATCACGACTTCGGAAGGCGGAAACGCATGGGACTGCAGCAGGATCACGACATGGGGTGGGCGGAAGCAACGAGTCGTGCACCAAAGTATGCACGGCACTGTCGCGCGGATGGAAATGTGGCGGACTGCTGGGGTAACACGAATCGCCCCAAACTATGCCCGGGACCCTTGTAAGAAACCACATGAAGAGTCCGCGACCCTGGCAGAAGCAAGATTTGCGCCCAAAGTAAGATTCGCACCCAAGACACCCAAAACACTGTGGCGAGAGCACGATTCACCGAAAGGGGAGAGCAGCAAAGTAATGGATTCTGCAATTGCATTCGGTGTACCCCGCGGATGGGCCCACACGCTTGTGGCCGCGGCGGCAGAGTAGAACCACCTACGAGCTACCGGGTACCCAGCGCTAGCACAGCAACTGAGTAGTTCCTTACATTCCTTTGCTCTAAACTCTGACCGTATGCGGGCCCCTTTCTGTTGCGACACTGCTTGGCGGGACTAAACACTGTCCACAGTCGCAGAGAGGGGTTGCGCGGGTGGGTTGGCTTGGATGTAAAGGCTGGGCTGGAAAAAAGAACAGGGTCGACAAGTGGGTGAGAATGGGAGAGAGTGTGATGCTACTAGCGTCTTGACAGGGGAGGAGAGGATACGAAAAGGGAAGGGCAAAAGCGCTGCAGGCCAGTTTGGGCCTCGTTACACGTGCAGGCCCTGACGAGCTCGGGCTGAGCGAACCAGCAGCCCCACAACTACTTCTTCGTCAAGCTTAGGGCCAATGACGGAGATTGCTCCCCGACTCATGCCTTCGACATTCCTGACTCGGGCTTCTGCGACTCCTGGCTATCTGCCCTGACTTAGGCAGCGTCCCAATGGACCCATTGCCTGCCTGGTTGCTGCTGAGGCATTGCCACAGCCCCGTGGTGACAAGCACCGCAGGTGACAATGAGCTCAGCCGGCCCCAGTGCACGATGTTGCGCACCTCCAGGCGAAAGGAAGCCAGTGCTAAACCCGAACCTCGCCATCTGCAACCGTCAGCTCCATGTCAGTCCTACCACTCTCCCAATTTGTGCAAGGACGCCGAACTAAACAAATGTGCAGCAAAGTTGCCATGCCAGCCAAGAAGATGAGCCCAACATCCTGAATCTGCCCGATGGAAAACCTGAGCGCCAAGCCCCGGACTAGGTGTCGGTTTCCGCCACCAATACCCACAAGTTCACTGCTCCTTCACTGACGACGCGATTATGCCAGACCCAGTTGCCACTGGAACACCTGGAGCCGTGAACCCCAATTCGTCAACCTATTGCGGGTAGGTGGCAGGTCGGCAATTATACTATAGAAGGGGTAGCAAAGTAATGCGTTATCGCGATAACAGACGATTCGGGTCGTCGACTTCGTGGCCGCCGATATTGTCGCCGCCATCGCGCCGGTGCTGCTGCTAGGAGAAGTAGGAGACACAGCAGCAAACACAGCAGCTTCTGAGCCAAGGGACACGATGGACGAGAGCAGCGTCATTGCCAACTGCATCACCTCAGAGGCGAGGGTCCAGGGTTCTCCTGGCAGTAGAAGTAGAGGAAGGTAGTAGGTTACCGGGCAGATCCTGGCACTACAGCAAGCCTGGAAGCCCGAAAGCGCACTATGACCAACTTGTGTGGCAAGCAGCTGCGGAGCTGAGGAAATAGATCTTGACGATGGCCGGCCTGAGAAATGGTGGCAGGAGCTGAAACCAGGAGTGCCGTCGGGAAGAACAGGCAAGCCCGACTCGGCAAACAGGCTGCCCGGGTACCCTTCTACGCAACCCTCCTTCCTGCGCGGTCTGCTTTCAGAATCCATGCCGGGCTGCATATACTGCAAGAACTCTGCTTGTGGGAACACGATGTGCGCGTAAGATACCAATGACGGCACCTGAGCCACCCATTGCAGGAAGCCATGGCTGCGTCTGTGACTGTGTGGTCTTGGACAGCGGTGTCTACAAGGGTGTATGTACGGGGGTACTTTGCTTCCTACGGCAAGCAGGGATGGTGTTCCTGCCTGCCCCAACCAACTGCGAACACCAGTACTGAGCTCAACATTCCGGCCGGGACACTGCGATCAGCTTCCTTTTGAGAAAGCTATCTGCAGGCAAATTTCAATTTCCCCCGCCAAGTTCCATGCCGACATGAGTGAGAGGGGGAAGCTTCGCGGAGCTGTCGTAATCGGCGGTAGTCAGCTAGTCGATCCCGCAGCTGAGGCCGTGGCACACACGATCCTCAGTTCGGGGGCAGCTACGAACCTCCATGCAACAAGCTTCCACCCTCAACCCCAAGCCACGAAGCTTCTGGAAAGCCTCAGAAATCCAAGCGAGGCTCAGGTTCACCAAGCCGTAAAGGACGCCGGTGAGGTGGTCTTGGCCCAGATAGTCCATGAAGCGCCTGGCTTCAACACCCAAAAGGTTCTGGTTCGGGGCTCTGGCGCTTGGGACTTGATTCCGAGAATCCTGGGCCAATGCTCTCACAGCCAAAAAAGCCCCGAGACCCTAAACCTCCAACGCGGTGTCTGCCTCAGGTTGATGGGGACCTTGCCCGTCTGCATTTCAATGTCGATTAGATCTCGCCACCTGGGGGTGAGCTGAATGTCTCGGACACGGGAAATTCAGTTCTGAAATCAGCTGGTGGTCCTGGTCTAAAGTCTGTTGTGACAAGGCCAACTAAAATCAGCATCTTGCTGGTCCAGGCAAATCTCCCTCAGCATACGATAGAGTCTTCAGCTGCTTGGATACCCTTTCTGCTCAACATCTCTGCACGTGGAACAAGATGCTAAGACCGGAAACCCATATTCTTTAAGAAGAACCGACACCTGCATCACATCCTGTAAGTCGCATGCTGTACCTGATGAACATGTCTAACTGGAAGCTATCCGACGCCTCCAAGATGTGTTCTTCCACCATGTAGAATCTAGAGCTCTGTCTAGCAAGAGAGTTAAAAAGTTAAGGTTTGTTTCGGGTGATGTCGCATAGGCCCAGATTGGTCACAAAAAACCCTGACAAGGAAAGCTGCATGCTGTCTCTACGACCATGCTTCGTGACGTTCAAATCCTGCAGTACATATGGGTGCCTTAGAAGATCCTGGAGGTCCCGAAGCCCTAAACCCACCTGCAGTTATTTTTAACCGGCCGGAGACGATCTTTGGAGCCTGCAGGCTTAAAGTTGAATTTTGAGCTACTTTGGACTTGTCATGCAGGGATCCCCCAGACCCCACACCCTAACCAGGGAACGGGATTGTATGAGATTGGAATTGAGGTGCTGGTGAAACGTTCCCCGCGCCCTGTGGCCTAAAGCCGAAACCATAAATCCTAAACCCGAAAGGGGACGAAAGGGGAATCGCTGGCATGTCGGAAGTGTCAATGGTAACTTCTTTGGCTACGGAGCTGAGCTCCCTTTCCAAGGCCAAAATCTTGAACCCACTCACTTCCGATCTGGAACTCGGGATTCTGAGAGTTTCTGAATTTGAGGGTGTATATACGGGGCTTCAAACAGTCGGGGCTTCCCAAGGCCCCTAAAACCACACTGGCTTTCAATCGAGCAGCGACTCCTTGCCTTCGATCTGGTCCTGCATGAAACGACAGTGAGCAAAGTAAGCCGCTTTCTGTCTCTGGGCTTGGGGTCCTGGGTTTACGATTTTGAAGCTTAGGATCATTCAATACCGAATTTAGAATCTGAGAATTAGGTCGTTTGGGCTTACGGACCAGAGCAGGCATGCTCTCATTGACGGGAGTGTCGCTTAGTCTATATAGGGCTTAGGGTTCCGAAAGGTTCCGAAGTGCTGAGGTGACCTGCTGAGTGCGAACAGTGCTACAGCTTTGCTGTGCTCTACATCGTCCATCTGGTATTTGCCCTCCCTGGCGGCGTTGTGCCCGGAGTGCCGCCGGTCCTGTCGGATGAGATTCGCGGGCATCTTTGGTCCGACCTTCAGGTCAAATCATTCTCTGAGGCTGTTGGGCAGAATGCATCGCAGGCGCAGGACCCTTAAGATGGTGCCTCTCTTCGGAACCTACCGTGGACATGCTCACCAAGCGATGTGGCAGCAGAAACTCTCATTGCGACATGCCGTGGCAACCCCGTTTTGGGATGACTTACGGCAGGCCTTTGAGACGAGAACGTCTCTGAAGAGCCGAACAGCCAGCGGGCGAAGGATACCGTGGATTTTGTATCGGTGTGTCAGAGCCCTTACCTTGTCGATCCCCCACTGACTGCTGCAGAACATGCCACTAGACTCGCTCGAGTTGCAGTGCGGTCCTTAGGAGTTATAACGAGGCAAGACCCCCTAAAGTCCGTAAAAGAACGCACCCCTGCACGACAGGTTTTCAGGTCAATTGCCCGACTACGCAGCGTTGATATGTACGTCTGCTCAAGGAGCCGGTAAGCTGCAGCATGACAGGACAAGATGCTTGCACTCCGAAGTTCGGCGGATCTGCATCTTCAACCTTACGACACAAAGCCTGAACTCTGGGAGCTATGAACTCCCAGAAGGCTCAAACCCAGAAACTTTCCCAAAGCCGGGATGACATGGGTGATTTGGGTTTGTGCAAATCGGAATAACGCAGAAGGACCGAACGATGCGATCATTATAACGATACTTACTAGCCGGTAGCAAATCTGCTTGCACAACACCAAGAATATCTGAACAGTTAGAGCGTCCGTTGCTGCACGAGAACAGCAACAGCACCGGCAGCAGCAGCAGCAACAGCAGCCGCAGCAGCAACAACAGCAACCATAACCACGACCACAATCGACCGACTTGATTGCGCAAGGAAGGCAGCGCATCTACGGATACCAACAGAACCAGATCCAGGTTGAGAACCTTCAAGATCATGGTTGGGCAAGATGACATGTGTCTCCCTGCTCACGAGATGATTGTAATTACCATGATTCGTGCGATGCTCAGCAAACGTGGAGTACGAACAACAGACTCTAGTATCACGATCTTCACACGGGCCGGCGACGGATTGGGGTCGGCCTGTTGCTTGTGTCATGTTGTCCCTTAGAGCGACGCTACGTATTCGTGCCACTGATACAATTAGTGCTTTCAATGGTGTTGTTTCTCTACTAGTAACTGTCGGTCTGCGTGGGTGTGTGGTGGTACCGTCCTGGTATGATTGCAGTGTGTCCATCGTCGTCATGCTTGCTGCTGGCATTGAGGATGTTGGTGCTGCTGCGATGCCGTTGCCACATTATCAACAGTCTGCCGTTGGGCCACCATCACCATTCTGCTCGTCATCCGAATCAAGGTCATCTCCACCATCAACATTACGATCATCCTCGCCATCACCAGGTGTATTGAGTCACGATTGTTGTTGTTGTTGTTGATCCTGCTGTTGCTGTTGCTGTTGCTGTGCCTGTCGTTGCGAATCTTGTCGTGCTTGTTGCCGAGTTCCTCATTGCTGCTCCTACTTTCATTGTCGCTGTTGGTGCTGGTGTGTCGAAAGGTTTCCCGGCCGATACTCATGCTGCCGTTGACCTCTAACTCCGGACTGTATAATAGCGATAGAGAGATCATTGACAAATATGTCAACCGTGCAGCTTGTTTTAACCTGTTATGCGTTATCCACGTATGCCTGCTTGTCTGTATACGTTGCTCGCTAACTCTCCTGGTGCATCCTGTTCTCACATGCAGACATGTACCTACCTGCACCTACATGTCCGCGCACACACACACACACACACATGAGTGATGGCACTTCAGTGTCTCAGCGCTTTTTGTGTTCATGAGGCTCGGGATCCGGACTGACGTTTGCATAAGCAGCAGAGCTTTGCCCATGACCCCATGTTGGGGCCATTTGTTGACCTGCCGGCGTGCCTGTGTGGGCGTCCAAAGCGTCCTCTGGAATCAGCGCGACTTCTGCCGAAACCCTGACAAATAGCTTTTGACAACACTCAAGACGTTGTGACCAACCCAAGCTTGCGACACCTCCCGTGCCTCGAGAAGAGCCCCTGAAATCGATAGTTTTGCGGGAAAAGGCTTAAATCCCCAGCCCGGCAAAAACAACGCGACCATCTCTCAACTATGGCGGATGAAACGACAATACGCCCCCAACCCCTGCACCCTCAATGCACCTAACCCGAAAGCGCTAAACTTGCTAGATCTTAAACCCCGACGTATAACCCTGAAAGCCATAAGCCCTCGACCCTAAGAGACAGACGAACCAAACCCAGACCGCGGCTCGTCCCGAGGGCTCGTGCGCTACGGCTCACCGAGTCGGCTTTGCTCCTTTCCGCCGCCAGAGGCTTTGGGTTTAGGGTTCTTTTTATGTTTGGTGGCCGGGACAGAAATGCAAAAAGAAAAGGATCAGAAGAATGCCAGGTTTAGGGCGTGGGTTTGGGGCTCCGCCACCATTATGGTTCGAGTTTGAGAGGGGTTTTGGGTTTCGGCGTCAGCGATCGCTTTGGCTGTTCGATAAGAAGCACAGCCAATGGAGAGATGCGTATGTATAGACAAAGATCATCATAATACATAACAGTGATAAGCACCTGGATTTTGAACCATCGTAGCTGTATCGATACGAAGACATGAAGGTCATCGTGGTGGCCATCAATACTAAACGCATAAACCTGGAGGGAGAATAATAGTATCGTGCTGTGAATCTCGGACGTTATGAGCGCAGAGCAATGGTGGAAGCTGCCCAAACCTTGGCCGAAATCCCGAAGTCTGCACGTTAGACCAGAACGGCTGTTGGGATCTTCCAACTGGTGGCAATAAGGATCCAAGGCTGGGCAAAGGTATCTTTCAAGCACTGTAATCCTAGCACTGATACACAGACTGAGACGTGACAAGAACATACAACGACACGAGTACTGATGACAACGTGTAGCACAAAGAAGCGGTCGGGAAAGCTTTAACGGACTGTTGCAGGTCCTCGGTGTTCTGCGCTTCGCAATAAGGAGTCCTTGCAAAGTTCTCTGGATCAAGAGGTGAAGGCTTCGCACTAAGGTCTCGGGCCTCGTGTGTAAGAGCTCGAGGTCATGGGGGTCCCGCGGTAAATCAAGCCCTGTTCATTCAGGTGCACAAACAGGTACAACGGTTTCTCAAACAAGCGGCACCTTCTTTAATCTGAGGTTCAACACCAGATTCTCACATTCTCTGAAACCCCCCACATGCATCGCTGTTAGGCCAAAGATGCCACTATCCAGGATCTTTAAGCCACAAGTTTAGAACCATGCCAATCTGTGGCCTACATCCCCCAATGCATGATCATGTCCTCATTCCACAAAGCAGTTGAACCCTGGCTGCGCCTGTTTTCTCGCATGTCAATCTACAATAAACGCAGCCCGTGGCAATCGGATGAAGGTAACTTTGCCCTCCTTCAGAACGCCCCAAAGCCTCAGCTTTCTGGACACAGGTGCAACATCGTAGTGGAGGAGGAACAGCAGCAGGACGAGCAGCAGTAGCATTCAGTGATTACAGTTCCCGAAGTCGTCCTAGGATGGTGGATCCGGGTATCGATGGGTTGTAATGCCGAACGCATTTGACCCGTCCTTCCTTCCCCGTCGCGCCAAACTTGACCGGACTACCAGGACAAAGATGAAGTAGGGATTGAGGCAGCCCCCTTGAAGCCCTTGCGCTTTGAACGCTTGGTCTTCAGCATTGGCAGAGTCGGCAGCTGCGGTTTGTAGGCTCAGCTTTTGGACACAAGCCCTAAGGCCTGAGCAGAGCCTGGCGATTTCCGAAGGGGGTGAGGCGAAGCTTAGTAAGCTTAGCCTGACACGCACTGCTCCTGATATTGCACTACATCCTCTCCCGCCTCTCCCGAAACAGAAGACATCGACCGGGTCTTAAATTTCCCCTCTACAAATCCCGCCGACGGCCACCCCTCTGAGGCCATGCAGCTCAGGTTTGGAGGACCGCCACGGTACCGGCTCGGAGGTACTGTTGGGAATGAGAACCTGCGAATCTTTTGCAGAGCTTGTGCAGTTGCGAGTTTCAGTAAGGAGGGTGCTTTCAGCGGATCGTGCATTCTCGCATCCTGTCTTTATCAACGGGCGACGGGAGTTTAGAAGCATCATGGGGTCAGGGCTTCGACCTTCTCGTCTCGACACAAACGGCGTTCAGATCTGCACGTCCTGGATCAGAACATCAGAAACTGCGTAGCTTGAACTTGGTTTCGAGAGCCGGCCCCCCATCAATTCAGAGCTGCTCTCCATCACTCCCACCCCGAACAAACCCCGACCACCTCAATGTTTGTCTCGTAGTTGGCTATGCCCCCGGCAACTGCGCGCTGCAGCTTTTCTGCCTCAGCTGGAGATTTCAGAGCTGGGGAGTTGCTTGGAGTCTTGGAGTCTATGGAGACTTGGGGATGACAACATCAAAGAAACCATATGAGCCACGAAAGAGAATCACAATCAAATCCAGCAGCAGAAAGACAGATTATTTCTAGACGCCATCGGCCTGCATTGGCCGACGAAGCCCTCAAGCTTGATTCCCATTCCTATCCGGGCCCTCGCAACTAACGACATGCACGGTCTATATGCTTTGCAGCAGATCTGCTAGCCAAAGGTAGCTGTTGGATAGGAAGCGGCAGGCTTCATCCAGCTCACCACCAAAATCGTCCTGGGCCGTTGGAACAACATGGCGAAACCCAGTTCACTTCTGGCCAGCAACTCTGGTTCGGAATTTTGCTGTCGGGGTACGACTGTGACGCTCCACGCACCAAACACATGTGGCCCTGGAGCTGTGCTGCTAGTCACAATTCTCTGTAACAAGACCCTAACGGAGATTGAGGGGCACTGGCCGCCAACCAAAAATCATGTACGACACCAAGACGTGAACCCCGAAACCGAAACCGCTTTTGCAAAAGACTGTGCCCGGGTGGCCGTGTCTAGAAGCCGATCGGGCTCAGCATGCAGTGACCCAGCATCTCCCAGACAACCATCCTCCGGCAGGGACAAACTGTACGAAGTGTTATTTATCATTATGCATACTGTCAAAAGTTTCATTTGTACGGGTTGGATCAGAAAATCTCGGGCCGTGTGGTCTGGGGGCTTTTCGGTCTCGCGTCCCATATCAGCCTTGACGGCCATTTCGTGGGAAAGGAATGGCTTGCGGATTTGGAGTTCTGCTTGAACGAGTGGATCGTTCTCCCCCTGATGTACTGGTACCTTCTTCCTAGATTCACTGCGCCGCTAAGTATGCTTACTAGTTACTAGTTGCTGAAATGAGTACTGGTGAGTGCTCTTCTGAGTTGTCTTATACCGGTGCGGTCGTAGACAGTAGCTATAGCGTGGGCTGGCCAGTGCCGTTTCAGAACATGAACCAAACTCTTCGTGCGATTTCTAGTATGGCGACTGGCTGGATTTTGCTGATGATGATGATGATGGTGATGATGATGATGATGATGGTGATGGTGATGATGACGATGCTGATGATGGAGGTGACGACGAGCATGATCATGGTGGCTGTGACGTGCATGATGCTGACCTTTCATTGACAAGGTCACTACACTGATCGATACATATATATATATATATATATGTACAGTATTGTTCTACTGTGATTCTTACTGAAAGCACAGCCTGTCTGGTAGGGCAGAGCTTCCATGAGCTTCCGGCTCTCACATCTCCGAATTCGGTGCCTATAGGGGTTTTACGTTTAGGACCGTTTACGCTTTAAGCTTCAGCGTTCAAGGTTTCGGGGCTCGGAGTCTCCAGAAGGATGGCTAACACCGAGAGGAAGAAACATCACCGTGTGACGCCCTAAACCCTGAAACCCTAAGCCAAAACTCCTAAACCCTAAACCCCAAACACCCAAACCCCTAAACCCTGAGCCCTAATGAGCCCAAATCCCCAGTTCGCTCCTCCAGCACGGCAAAGAAAACGTCCGACAACCTCAGGCTGCATGCCCTTTCCGACGGCTGTTTAAGGGATCATGTACTCTTGAAGAGGTCTTTCCTCTAAGGGCTCTACTTCAGTACAAGAGTAACGGCTTTGTTCAGGAGGCAGGCCTCCGTTATGAAGTTCGAACCTTAGGTTCACTAATCCAGGGGCGCTTTGGGTCAGCCGCTCCGAAAACAAGTGAGCTCCGAACTGTCAAGTACTTCACTCCTGCCAAAACTCCGTCTCGGAGCCTACCCACCCCAATGCACCCAAGACCAAAACTGCTCCCTCCGGTACCCTGAACCTCAAAAACCAATGCAAGCCTTAAAAGCTTCCCTGCCATACCTGGGTGGACACAAAATGGCCAGAACAGGGAAGCTCTGAAGCTCTGCCCTCCCCACGCCAAAGGACGGGGACGCGCCGAAGCTTCGCCCAGCCATGACCTCTTCATGGTCCCGGCTGAAACCGGCCAAGTTCAAGTCTCCGAGCCTGGGTGTCGGGTTTCGGGTCTTGCGGTTTCGGAGTTTCGGTGCTCAGGTCTCAGATGGTTTCGTTTCGGATTTAGGCTTTGAGGTGGAGTCTTTGATAAATGAGGGCTTTTGGGCCTTTGGGGCCTTTGTCTTCGCTTTCTTTGGGCTGGAGGTCAACAGGGTTCAAGGCTCTACAGATTTGAGTGTGCAATGTGGGGGTCAGAAGAACTCTAAAGGAAGGATCATCTCCCCCAGAAGATCCCTACATATTCAATTTATCCCATGCCTCCAACACCCTAGTTCTCAGTCAGGGTCGGAGTAAGTCCTTTCAGTTGTGGGCAAAGGACTCCATGGCAGGAGAATCTGTTCAAAAACTACTTCTCGATTTGAGTCCAGAGACAGCTTGTGGCCATATCTCATGTGCCTGCCAGGACGAATCTTGCGAGGGCTTTCTGACGCAATAGTGTTCAACGGCTTCCGACCCCGGCCACTGCAAGTTAGGTTGAGCTAGGTCGCTAGGTAGGAAGAAGACGATACATATGTGCAATGTGAGGAACGATTATGGGCCTGCTCGAGACGAAATTGCTTCGCTAAAACTTCTTGCCTGATTGTTGTGTGCCGGAGACGTGAATCTGTGTCACCGTCCACGAGTTTCTGAAAACCTTGAAGTCAGGTCTGGACGAGGCCAGGTGGTCGGGGTATGAGACCGATACGATGAAGCTTTAAATTGGTCCTTGGGCACGGGTCCCTGCCTTCTTGTGCCTCTTACAACCCTCGCACATCGACGAGAAATCCGAGCAAGTGTAGCTGCCTCCAGCTTTCAACGCCGAGGATCGTCACGTCGCAGTAAAACCTTGAGGCAACTGAGCTCCGACGTCAAGCAGTGGCAAAATAGCTCTCTACTGCTGAGCTCTGCGGCTGCCCGGAGAGATCAAGGAAATAGCAGAGTCTCTCCCTTCGTGAGCCCGAGTTCTGGAAGCCCTGCGTGACAGCACTTGTATGTGGTAAGTTGTGGCCAGGGGGCCCTGAGACGTACGGGTCGCCGTCGATCGTCTTCCCGGAGAGATACTCCTCCGGGAAACACAGCTTGCGTGTGCATTGGAGGGAGCTTCGTGTTCATCGAGAATGGCTGAAATGGGCATCTGGCCATCTTTGCCCGTGCGGACCACCTGCCACAGTCGACGGCTCGGAGAATGCAAAATGGGTCCGAAAAGCAGCCTGCAGCCTCGCATCCCGGAGCCCAAGCAGCGTCCTCAATGCTGAGGAGAGCCATGCGCTTGCCATACTTGGTGCCCACGATCTCGTCGGACTTTCCTATTGCCATGGCTGAACGTACTTGAACCCCGAGCCTGATTCCTGCCGGCGTCTGAGGAATCGCATGCCCTCCAAAAAGCCTGAAGCCTTCGTGTCCAGTGTCAACAGAAGGATGGTGCAACAGAGGTGGAAATATGCATTGGTCTACCAAGCCGAGCATCTCAGTTGACTGTAAAGTCCGGGCGCGCCCTCCAGAATAATGGTTGTGACGCCCATGTACGTGAGGTGAAACCTGAGAGAACAAGGTCAAGGATGCGTGGGAGATGAGCGGAAAGTCTACAAGCTTTCGTTGTCACCTTGCTTGGCTCAAATGCACCCCCCCACATTGCAACTCTATCGGCCAAAAAATCGCAGCTCCCTAGGTGCCGACTGCAGGGCCTTAATAGTTGGAATAGGTTCTTGAGGGAGATTATAGAATAACTATTGAAGGGTATTATTCAACAACTATAATATGGAGCCCCCAAAATTAAAATAGCACGGGTAACTATTAAGGCCCCTATATTACGAGCCTCGTCCTGACCGACAGTAGTCAAGGAGCAGGAGGGCATCCAGCAGCAGTGCTTGTCGGTCTCCGATCCCAACCACACAAAGGTGAATGCTTGCCAGGCCCCCATAGTTGTGGCTGGCAAAAAGCTGCTGGAAACTCCTGAAGTCCGCATACTCCTTATTTCTTCTCTGGGCATAGAGGGCTGCAGAAATGGGGTCCAAGTTCTTGAAAGGCTATTCGGGTCGTATGGACGTGCAGTCAGGTGTGCTTCAACAGTATGTGCAATGACCAATAGGCCCTAGCATGTGTACATCAGAAAGACACGATGGCATCGATACGACTTTCATGTTATTGGTCTGCCTACCCGACACTTTGAAGCCCGTAGTGTGCAGTTGTCTCTTCTATGGCACATCCGGGCTGGTAAAGGAGCAGCATCTCCTGAAGTGCTGTTGACAAGAACAATCAGGAACAGCTAGCTAGCAAGCACCAACACTTACTGACCGATGCGCTTGCTCACACGATCTCACACCCGTTCACCGCCATCAGGTTAAATGACGCCTCTAGGATTCAGGATGCCAGCAACCACGAAAGCATGAACAACATGTCAGCTATATGCTGAGTCCAGAGCATACACTGGCAACGCAAGACATGGTAACCACGACCGTGAGAAAAATCTGCAGCACAAACTCAATACTCGCACAAACACAAAAATTATAATACACTGCTTGAGGAACTCTCACATCTGTGGCAACGAGCTCAGTTGAGCACGCTATTTATAGCCGCTGCCCGCCCGCAGCGGCCCAATACAGGCTTGTTTGGGCGCAGGCTGGCAGCCCCCAGCACTGCCCGCAGCGGCCCAAAACAAGTTAGTTTGGGTGTGGGCTGGTAGCCCGCAGCGGCCCCTAACAGGTTCGTTTAGGTGCGGGCTGGCAGCCCGCAGCGGCCCAAAACGGTTCGTTTGGGTGTGGGCTACGCAGCGGCCCAAAACAAGTTTGTTTGGGTGCGGACGGCCCGCAGCAGCCCAAAACAGGTTTGTTTGGGTGCGGGCTGGCAGCCCGCAGCGGCCCAAAACAGGTTCGTTTAGGTGCGGGCTGGCAGCCCGCAGCGGCCCAAAACAAGTCCGTTTGGGTGCGTGCTGGCAGCCCGCAGCGGCCCAAAACAGGGTTGTTTGGTTGCAAGCTGGCTGCCGGTAGTGGGCCAAAACAGGTTTCTTTGGGTGCGGGCTGGCACCCCGCAGCGGCCCAAGACAGGTTTGTTTGGGTGCGGGCTGGAAGCCCGCAGCGGCTCAAAACAGGTTTGTTTGGGTGCCGGTTGGCAGCCCGCAGCGGCTCAAAACAGGTTTCTTTGGGTGCCGACGGGTGCGGGCACCGGCCCAAAACGGGTTTGTTTGGCTGCGGGTTGGCAGCCCGCAGCGGCTGGCAGCCCGCAGCGGTTCAAAACAGGTTTGTTTGGGTGCGGGTTGGCAGCCCCAGTGCGGGCTGGCAGCCTGCAGCGGCCCAAAACAGGTTTGTTTGGGTGCGGGTTGGCTGAAAACAGGTTTGTTTGGGTGCGGGCTGGGAGCCCGCAGCGGCTCAAAACAGGGTTTGTTTGGGTGCGGGCTGGCGGCCGCAGCGGCTCAAACGAGTTTGTTTGGGTGCGGGCTGGCAGCCCGCAGTGGCTCAAAACAGGCTTGTTTGGGTGCGGCCTGGCAGCCCACAGTGGCTCAAAACAAATTCGTTTGGGTGCGGGCTGGCAGCCCGCGTTTATTTGGGTGCGGGCGGATCAAAACAGGTTTGTTTGGGTGCGGGCTGGCAGGCCGCAGCGGCTCAAAACAAGTTTGTTTGGGTGGGCTGGCAACCTGCAGCGGCCCAAAACAAGTTTGTTTGAGTGCGGGCTGGCAGCCCGCAGCGGCTCAAAACAGGGTTTGTTTGGGTGCGGGCTGGCAGCCCGCAGCGGCTCAAAACAGGTTTGTTTGGGTGCGGCCAGGCAGCCCACAGTGGCTCAAAACAAGTTCGTTTGGGTGCGGGCTGGCAACCCGCGTTTATTTGGGTGCGGGCGGCTCAAAACAGGTTTGTTTGGGTGCGGGCTGGCAGCCCGCAGTGGCTCAAAACAAATTTGTTTGGGTGCGGGCTGGCAACCTGCAGCGGCCCAAAACAAGTTTGTTTGAGTGCGGGCTGGCAGCCCGCAGCGGCTCAAAACAGGGTTTGTTTGGGTGCGGGCTGGCAGCCCGCAGCGGCTCAAAACAGGTTTGTTTGGGTGCGGCCAGGCAGCCCACAGTGGCTCAAAACAAGTTCGTTTGGGTGCGGGCTGGCAACCCGCGTTTTTTGGGTGCGGGCGGCTCAAAACAGGTTTGTTTGGGTGCGGGCTGGCAGCCCGCAGTGGCTCAAAACAAATTTGTTTGGGTGCGGGCTGGCAACCTGCAGCGGCCCAAAACAAGTTTGCTTGAGTGCGGGTTGGCAGCCCGCAGCGGCTCAAAACAGGGTTTCTTTGGGTGCGGGCTGGCAGCCCGCAGCGGCTCAAAACAGGTTTTTTGGGTGCGGGCTGGCAGCCCGCAGCGGCTCAAAACAGGTTGGTTTGGGCACGGGCTGGCACCCCGCAGCGGCCCAAAACAGGTTTGTTTGGGCAGCGGCTCAAAACAGGTTTGTTTGGGTGCCGGTTGGCAGCCCGCAGCGGCTCAAAACAGGTTTGTTTGGGTGCGGCCTGGCAGCCCACAGTGGCTCAAAACAAGTTCGTTTGGGTGCGGGCTGGCAACCCGCGTTTATTTGGGTGCGGGCGGCTCAAAACAGGTTTGTTTGGGTGCGGGCTGGCAGCCCGCAGTGGCTCAAAACAAATTTGTTTGGGTGCGGGCTGGCAACCTGCAGCGGCCCAAAACAAGTTTGCTTGAGTGCGGGCTGGCAGCCCGCAGCGGCTCAAAACAGGGTTTGTTTGGGTGCGGGCTGGCAGCCCGCAGCGGCCCAAAACAGGTTTTTTGGGTGCGGGCTGGCAGCCCGCAGCGGCTCAAAACAGGTTTGTTTGGATGCGGGCTGGCAGCCCACAGCGGCTCAAAACAGGTTTGTTCGGCGCGGGTTGGCAGCCCACAGCGGCTCAAAACAGGTTGTTGTAAACAGGGTTTGTTTGGGTGCGGGTTGGCAGCCCGCAACGGCCCAAAACAGGTTTGTTTGGGTGCGGGTTGGCAGCCCGCAGCGGCTCAAAACAGGTTTGTTTGGATGCGGGCTGGCAGCCCGCAGCGGCTCAAAACAGGTTTGTTGGGCACGGGCTGGCAGCCTGCAGCGCCCCAAAACAGGCTTTTTTGGGTGCGGGCTGGCAGCCCGCAGCGGCTGCAAACAGGTTGGTCTGGGTGCGACCTGGCAGCCCGCAGTGGCCCAAAACAGGTTTGTTTGGCTGGCAGCCCGCAGCGGCTCAAAACAGGTCAACCCCAGCCTAAATGAAAAAGAATCTTCACTCTAAACCCTAAATCCTCAAACCCCTAGACCCTTAAACCTCGACAAATACACAGCCGTGGCGCCGGCTGGTTCGCAAAGACTGTTGCCTTTCCGTCCAGGACCTTTTGGGTGTTCCACGGGTCGAACCACTCCACCATACTATACTTTAGGGCTTAGTGTGTATATGTGCGTATAGTAGTGTAAGCCTAGACCCTAACCCGGACATTAAATGCATTGAGGCTTGAACTCAACACGAACCACGCAACTAAACATTCGAATCCTTTATGAAGCCCTAAGGCTGGTATAAACACACGACTAAATCATCAACCGAGTACATCTAGATGGCAAAGGCTTGAAAAGGGTCTGCAGACTCGAAAAATGTTGCCGGGCGTGAGTAATCCCTGCAATTCCTGCCAAACTGATGCAGCTCTGCTGGTATCTTTCTCAGAACCTTGTAGCCTGTGCAAGTACGTCAGTTTGAGCTATTCAGCTCTCCTCAAGTACAAGAGCTCCAGCCCGGGAGTGGGAACTGTAGCAGTTAGATTGGGTTTACGTTACAGATCAGTAAATTGCAACCAACACGAACTTTGCGACACGGTAATATACTGGATCGTACACAACCTGTACCTTCTATGTATGCATGGAGGCAGGGGTATATGCAGGCATGTATTTGTGCTTCGCAATATATGTGTATCTGTACGTAAATCAATACCCATCAACATACAGCATATTGCCTGGTATCATAAACAAACAGGCGAATAAAAATATGCACCTTATTTCCGTATACAGAATGCAGTGCTGCTGCTGAGCTACCATAGCTAGTGCAACAAAACACAAGAGTTACGACCACGCCTAGCAGCACCTAAGCGGGCAAGCGCCAGCAGTGCTGTAACGAAAACACCACCTCTTGCTATTGCGTCGACCATGGAGTTTACTTGTCGCAGACAGTACCTGTGCGATCTAGAGCAATACTACCAATTGTATGCGAGGCAACACCCAGCGCCAAACGTTCAAAAGACCACCCAATTGATATCTTGCACGAACGGGACCTGGATGAGCCAAGGTGAGCAGACATGCACTGGTAATCAGACTGAAGTAAAAGCTAGAAGACAAACGTTTCTACAAGCACAGCCGTCAACATTTGATGCTCGTGCCAAAACCGGGTTTTAGGGATGGCTCCACACTGAACAGGACTTGCTCAGACTCATGTGGCCGTGACGTTGCTAGTAGTTCGAAGACTGAAATCACACCATATGATACGGATGGCAACACGCAGGGACCAGCAAAGATTCTGTAGCAGCTAGAAAGCGGTGACACTCAGGGCATGATCGTCACTAACAACACCCTGAGTGTGTCCTCGATTTGCTGCAAGCATGTATCCGGATATCTCACTCACACACACACACACACACATCAACGAAGTCTGCCTCATTAACTCTCAGTCGGGCGCTTGGGTTCGTCTGTGCGGGGTTCGTTCGCAGACTCTCTCGGGCAAACCGTTTTTAGTGGCCACTGACGCCCTAGGTGTCTTCGAGTCATGGTTACCTTATGTTGTTAATACACACACATATATATATATATGTATATATATATATATGTATATATATATATATATATGACGCATCTTCATCCCTCTGTGTCGCCTGCAAACTTTACGCCGAAATGAACACAGAATTGCAGATGGGGTCTTCTAAAGGGGGGGAGTGGTACAGTTGGGTCAAGCAGTCAAACTGCGCTTCGTGGGGACTTGGTGAGAGCTTTCTTGGGTGTTTAGAGTGTTGGGAGCCTGACGCTCACTCGAATAACTCAGTCTCGTCTCTTAGAAGATGGATACCTCAGAGACAAACTATAATCATTTAGTCCAAATCAAAAGCAGACTCGGGGGCCCCACTTCCCGCAAGTAGTCGGCACGCTGCGCATCTGCCTGTCCGCTCCTTGGCTCAAAGGCTCCACCAAGTGCGGCTCAATGATCAAGGTCAGAAAAAGGCGTTAGGAGTGTTGTTTGAGGATGGGCTTCGATCTCTCTTATCCAGGAGGGTTTGGAGAAAAGTAATGCGGCTTAGGGTTAAGAGTTTGGGGCAAATACAGGTGAGAATTCAGGGGGATCAGTTCATAAACCGTTGATGCAAGGAATTGTGAAACCCATGTTGAAGACGATGGCGATGATGCTGGAGCTGAGACTGGCGCTGGTCCTGTTTACGCACAGAAGATGACCAACATGATGATGCCGTCGACGATGAGGCTGTAGCAGTGAAGATGATGCGAACTGACGAGAAAGGTGAAATCTGGATTCTGGACATTGGTTACGGCGGTGGTGATGAGTAGTGATCATGATGAAGAAGAAGAAGACGATCAAGATGATGATGGTAGAAATAAAAAATCTAGAGCAACACAGTGATGGTGATGCAAGACTCGGGCTACGTCTGCTATACCTGCTACAACCACATCTGTAAGGCATACAGCTGAAGTTGAGGGACATGTGATTGCCGACGGAGGTACCATCATCTTGTCCTGCTTTTATGCAGCATCACTGACCATTGACTTCACAACGGCTTGTTCCACCACCACCATCATCACCATTACCACGATCACAAGCAACACAATCATCAGAGTAATCTTCCTCGTTTCGGCTTGTTGCTGTCACTACTCGATTACCTCCTCCGGGGTTATGAGGCAGGGCCAGTTGGGCTCTAGCTTTTGATTACATCGTTCACGACACAAGAATTTCGCGATTCGTCAGATGTTACAGCTGCAAAATTGCATCCTCTTAAGCCATGAGCTGTTGGCACTTGCCACGGCAGTCTCATGACATCAGGCCAGTTAACCAGACCCGAGGCTCAGGTGGAGGATGAACAATCCTTTTTCCGAAGGGCCAGGTACCTTCGGGGCTCTGTCATCGCTCGGCCCGGCCGACTTCTTCCCTGGCTTAGTCCGGAAAGGAGCCCAGTAACTTCGAAGGTCTGCAAATTGAGGCATGCGAGCTCCATGGATTCTTCAAGACTGGACTGTGGGCTCGGGTAACTGACAAGCACCTGTAAAATCATATATCGCAACATATCTCTATAGACCTCTCTATAGATATGTATATATCTATATATGTTGTTTTACATATATGTCGGGCTTATCAGTCATACGATGTAGCTGCATGTTTGGGTATATGTATGCATCTAGATAGATACATGGATAGATAGATTCAGATAGGGGTATAACCCTTATGCATGTATGTAGAGCACGGGGATTCAGGTCTTTATTGGTCTACATTTGCACGGCCAGGTGGGTCCACGCCGCCTGATGGTTGTTCAACTCTTTGGAGAGCAAAGCCGCCGTCTTGGTTTGCAAGTCCATGAAATCCGCCTTGAAGGGTCAGGGATTTAGGGTTTAGGCGCTGGGGTGATTGATATGGGGCTCAAGGCTTTGGGAGGTTTCTTCGCACTCAAACTGACTGCACCCCTCACCCCGATTGAAGGTGCCTTGTAAGCCTCACTGAAGCAGTACTGCTCCGTGTAGTTGAGGATCTCAGGGTCTTGACATGGAGGGTAGAAATACCACTCCAGCAGAAACCGTCGAGTCCATGGCGAACTGCGAAATAAAACAGTTCCAGTGTCGAAAAGCTCTTTTCGAATACTGGAAGGGAAATCCTGCGAATGGTGCTGCAGCCAGATATGCTTCTCAACATCCCCGATTGGCACAACATCCTCTATTCGAACATCTTGGTCGTAGAACATGGCATCTGCATCGATCCAGAATACAAAGTCATACTCACAAAGGTGAAGTAGAACTGCATGAATCTTGGACCAGTGGGGAATCCTGGACTTGTCGATCACCTTTGTCTCGACGTGGAAACCATAATCGTGCCGCTGGGCATAGAGCCGGTTTCTTTCGCCAGTGATGTTTGCGTAGGGCCCAATGTTCGCGGTGTGAACCGTAACGATGCCAATCCTCGGCTCTCCACTCATTTACCTTAAGTTAGTAGGGAATGGAAGACTGTTGGTAGTAGTTGTGATAATTGTACCACATTCCTCCATTCCCTACTAACCAAAGGTAAGTCTAGCCCGCAGATGTTTACCAAGTCTTCATATAGAGCCTAGCAGAATCTAGCGACTGGTACACAGCGGACAGCTCTGTGACAGTTCAATCTCTTGGAAGACTGAATCAAACGCTGCTCTTTGCAACTCGTCACTGGAATTAATCTACTTGGCGTAACTAGGTCATAGGGTTAAAAATGTAGATGTTTATTCCTTATTGGGTTATTACAAAGGCAATGTGTGCCGATTATTAGCGCCGATCTCCAGGGCTTCGGATTTTCAGGCTGAGAGACGCCGAGTCAAAACCCCCAAGATCAAGCCCAAGGCCCAGAGCCCCAGAATTCTCGAATTATGTCACAGACCTGCACTCCTCACTGCAGAATGTACCCCTGAAAACTCTATCAGAATCTAGGACTTGCCAACAAAATGCCGTGGTCGGGCAGCGCTGCCCTGCAAGATGTGTGGGGTGGCTTCAGGGGCAAAAGCAAAAAACTTGCTACTTCGACTGGATGCTTTTTGCGCAAATGATCCTTCCCATGCCAGCTCACTGTAGAGGGATTTGGCTTCACTGCTCGGATTACTACCCCTCTTCCTTGCCCATTGCTTCCAAACAACCGGGGCTTGTGGGGGCCGCCCCTTGGGGGAATCATTTCCGTCTGTGCTGGACTGTAGTAGCGCCTGCAATCAATCTAAGCCAACTCTGTGTAACCCGCACATTCAACACGCATTCGCACTGGTGACTTGAGAACAGACCATGCGCATACGAATCATGACTAGCGTGGCAGCGAAAGCGTGCCGATTGTCATCTGCATCTCTTCGTCCATCTATCTATATGCCGATATCTGAGTTTACGTGCGCATAAACCGATCTTCTGATCCATCTCTTTCTATGAGACATCTGAGTACATCTACATGACGGAAACCCACCATGGTCTGTCTTCTTGCTTCGTATATTTGCCGAGAATTCTATGCTATACATGAAACCATCCCACAGTCCGCCATCCTGCATCAAACTATGTCCCAATGACCCTGAGAGAGCAGTTATGCAAGCTTGGTCTCCGGACTCTAGACATCACTCTCTCTCGAATGCGATTTCAAAAAATGCCGATCCTTCAAGCTGGCTCAGGCCACCGATTTACTAGGACCAAGCACAGGCATGACTCAGTCGCGGACCGCCGACCGCAGCAGGAGAAAAGAAAGCAATGCCGCTCTTGCTGGTGGCACCATGGCGGACGTGTCTTTAGCTTTCAGCGATGACTTGACTTGGGGTTGCTCGGTTTTGCTACGCGGCCTTTAGAGTCTTGCTCTAAGCTGCCAGGACTGCTAGGGATGGCAGGCCACAGCATAAAGTGATCGACGAAACGGATTGATCGGACTCCCCATACATGAAGACTGTGCCTTCCTACAGGGCGCTTTTGGCAACAAGCTGAGCTGCAGCCCGGGAATCCATGCCACGGCTGGCATGCAGCCTATGGTGACACCATCGCAGTCGGAACAGCAAAAACATAGCGACAGAATCAGTGGCACTGGGAAACACGCCAAGACAGTGGTTGGAGCTGCCCCAGCGGCAGGATCCAAGACCCCGAGACTTGAAATCTTCGTGTAGACATCGGTCACAGGCCCTTTGATCTTGAGACCATACTTTAGCTTACCCACCTTGCCCTCGTGATCATGATCATCATGGTCACCATCTGCCAACAGCATCAGCCTCGCAGTCGCGAAGATCACACCAAGATCATCACGATCATCGTCATCACTTAACATTATCCACATTCAATACCACGAGCATCATCACCGACATCATCGCCACCAGTGTCATCATCAGTGGCTTCGCCTGAGGCTGTCACCAGAGGGAGCTCCAGTAGGACATGACCCACCTGGAGTTGTGCACGCGGATGAGCTCTATAAACTAGCTCTGTGTGTGCGTATAAACAGCATCTACCGTTTTCAGGATTGACACATCGATAGATAGATACAAGCATACCTATTTGCGTACCTACATGCATGCGTGCATACAGATGCATGTGGAAATGTGCTTTGCGGGATAATTGTATTTTTCGCCGTTGTGTTGGACAGACACACAGACATGATGCCTGGAAAATGACATGTGACCCCATGGAGCTCAGCAGCCCACTGGCCCAGGCTGCTGGCGAAGCCTGTCAGCATGGGCAAGGATCCACGCAAGGACAATTGTCGAGCAACTAAATATGGGAACCTATGAGTCTGGTGCCGAAACTGATTGCCACTTTTGGGCTTCTGCCTAGCATAAGCAGCTACCTCTCGAAACCCGGTACAGTAACGGGGGTTCTGGGTGGCACAGGGACTTCAGGAATGCTTAGGCAACCAAGAACGTCCGGTATGTGCGTAAACAAAGACACACGCACACACACAAACAAACAAACAAACACACACACACACACACATGCACCTTCGGGGAACATGGAGCATGCAAACAACATGGAAAAGATGAGGCTCACACTGCGAACTCTCCACCTTAGCATGATGCAGTAAATCATGCTGTGTTTCACAGCATGTAGCCAGCTGACGCGATCCTTCAGATCTCTCTCTCGCTCTCTCCTGGTCCGGCTGTCTCTCGGAGAGAAGTAACCGTGAAAGAAGCTGTCACCGTGCCATTCTGGTCGGAATGCAAATCAGAGAGCCAAGGACTGAGAGCGAGGCCGCCAAGGGGGACGACTCCCCCGAAGGTAGCGGGCATAAAGGTAGGAGTCGTAATGACCTGGACCAATTGCAACCCGAGAATAATTAGGGGAGAGAAGACCTTCCCCGTGTTGCTCGATGCCCACAAATCCTGCCAGTAGGCTAGGCGACTCCATCAGTTGGGGCTCAGACGTCCATGCAGGAAGTAGAAGGAAGGGAAGTACTCGATGCGCAGGAAACTGGCAAGCGACGGACAGCACGCTTCTTCCTGATCTGCGCCTCCTCCGACTGTTCATAGTCTCATAGGCCGACTCTAGCTGCGCTTGCTGCTGGTGCTGGTGCTTTTAGAAACCTGTCACGACTTGTCTTGACAATTCCATGTGCTCGGCCTGCATGACTCGTAGAGCAAGATGGCCGCCTCGTTGTAAGTTACCACATGCCTCAGGAGAACCCGCACTGGAACCGTCGAAGTAACGATTTCGGCTTCAGGGCTTTGGACAACTCTCCTGACATCGAATCGAGCTCGGAAACCCGAAACTTCTGAGAAATGAGAGCATGGACATGCGATGCCACCTCAATGGATCGATTAGCGTGACGCGAAGATGGTTTGTCAGCAGTTGAGCTCTTTGTTGCTCACCGGGTCACACTGCCGAGGCTTTCCACGAACGTCTCTGCCGCACGCCGCTTGACACTACAACTATTTTCAGACTCCTGTGTTCGAAGCTTATGGAACCCCGTCTTTCGCTTCGACACGAAAGCAGCCGCTTCGAAGTGGAAACAGCGACCTTCAGGCTTGGTTAGACATGCTGCAAATGGCGAAAGCTGCAAATGCCAAGGTCATTGACTCGACCAAGGCTGTGGCAAGTACATTGCTTGCACCTGACAGTCTGACAGCGCGCCGTCAGAGCCTGTAAATCTTACCATCCCAAAACCAACATGACCTAAGCCATCCAGATGCAAAACCTTCAGAACCACGTAACCTCGTGCAACTGCCTTGTGTGAACAGTCTTGACGAGACTGAGAGCATCTGCGGTACTTGTACATGATACTAACCTTGACATTAAGATAGTCATAATCATAATGATTCTGATAATCATAACAATTTATTGTTATTATTACTAGTAGTATTTTACTATTAGTATTATTGTTATTATCATCATTAGTATCATTATAAAATGCACCGACATAGCTTTGCCATGAGCCGGGATCTCGTGACCAGCCTCGGGCAGGTCTCTCTCGACGTACTCTAAGGAGCGCCTGGCCAGAGCTGCGAGGAGTTTGGAGGTCGGAGTCCGCCACGGATCTCTTTGGGAGCTTCCGAAAATTAGGGGTGGGTCCTTATAGTAGGGATCCTACGATTTAGGGTACTATCTTGGTGTCCCCTATTTCGGAAACTCCCAGTTCGGGGTTTGGAGTCTCGAGCGCAGAGGGAAGTGCCGTGGTTAGTGTGTGATCCTCATCACAGGGGCTCCAATGAAGGGCCCTGTCTTTTCTAAGCCTCCAGGTCCGAAGGTTGTCGTGGCGAACCCCGAAAGGCCCAAGCCTCAAAGCAGAACCTTCAATCAACCACCAAACCCTCAAATCGTTAAACTTTCAGTACCTCGACAACCCAGAGCTCTGAAGGCCTGCCTGAAGCCTCCCAAACCCCAACAAAAACATATGCCTAGACCCCGGAAGCATCCCAAACCGTGGCGCCTTGGGAGACTCGAGCCTACCCGATCCTGCCACGCTTTTCTTGTACGTGAAAGACGGACAACGTAGACCCGTAATGATAGCCGGCAGAACCCTGCAGCTCTGAAAAACAAAAGCCGACGGTGAAACTCGACATGTTCAAGGCCTGATCAACTCTTTTGCCAGGCCTCGCCTGCGACAGGGATCTGGGAATTCAGGGCAGTTCTGATCTACATCCACAGCGAGCTGAGAGACATGACCCGATAAGCATAGAAGGCAAAGCATGCCGACATTCATCCACCTGTCTCCAATCGGCTACAGTCGAAAACTCGCAAGGCTTGAGGCTGCGACCTGCGGAACGCTTCCGCTACGCCCAGAGTCAAGATGTAGGCCAGAGCCCCTGTACCTTTGGAAAGAGGCTGGAGGGGAAGGACCCTCAAGGTTGAGAGCCTAGTCAACGGGGAGCTCGTTCTCCAAGCCGTGATCGCCGAAGAAATGTAATCATCCCAAATGTCTCTCACCCTGCATCAGAATCAGAATCCCCGAAGTGCGAACTTGAAACACACAGACCCTGCGCTATAAACTTTCCCTGCGTACCAGTGAGCCCTAAGCCGTGACCAAGGCGCTGGGCCCGTGCTCCTCCTCGGAACCGAAGTCCCGGCGGCGTTTCCGGCGGCAGACTGCCTGATGCCGCTTTGCGGGGGTTAAAGCTTCTCGAAGGTGCTCGGGTAAAAGGCTTCCGCCTGCCTGGCCTTGCACCTGAAGGCTTCGACTTCACTAGCCCACGTGTGAACCTAAATCCTTTACCGTACATCCAAATAAGGACGCTCTGATGTCAATTCCCTGAGCCTCGCAGTCAGCGCCCAAAACGTGGCTGATAGCCTCCCCCGCTTCACCACCCGGTCGGGGGCGTTTACGCATGTTACCTCTCTGAATCTCTCTCTCTCTGATATACATACATACATACATACACGGAAATGTACATCTATATATATATAGTACATGTTTTGCGCATTATACATATTATCCACTACTGTATGGTGTTGGGGATGAACTCACAGAAAAGGTGACAGCCGCAAGAGTCCTCTCCGTGATGCTCGCAGTAAGTGCCTTGGCCAGCGCATTCCGGCTCAGGGTTCGGAGAAATAACGTCATAGCAGGATATATATATATATATATATATATATGTATATGTATATGTATATATATATATATATATATGTATTAATCAATACAATGATCATTCTTCTTTTATATATCATTACCATCATTATAGCTATATTGTAATATACCAAACGCCAAGCGCTTCGAGTTTAGAAACATAATTTCGATTTGGTGTCTCGGGTGCAGGTTGGGTTTCTTGGGGATTCAGGGTCCGGGGCTCGCGGCTTCGGGTAATGGCTCCATGGCGTTCCCGACATGACGGCAAGAATTCGTCGAAGTCCCGTGCCCGGACAGGGTCTTGCAGGTTCTGCTTCTGCTAACATGACGAAGTCTTGGCACAGGTCCCTTCAACGAGCTGTTCATCTTCTTCTTGTGTTCTAGCCGCCACGAGAGGCTTTCGGTTGGGTTTCCTTATGTGGTCGATGTCCCGGCGTGGGATTCGGAGTTGTGCGACGGTTACGGTACTGTTTTACAGGTCTGTTTCGGGCGCGCGACGCCCGGAACTCCAAGCCGGAAGCTCCGAACTCCGACCGGTCCTCCCAAAGCTCCAGAGCCCAAACCCTGAAGCCCAACATTCTCCGAGCACCGAGCTCATCGTGATCATGCCCAGGATGCTCTCCTGCACCAGGGCTCGGAGTTTAGGGACTGACGATCGGAGCTTAGGAACTCACATTGGCGGAAGGGTTTAGAGTTTGCAGTGTCGAGCTTCAGTCAGTGCCACGCTGCGGTTGAGGTGGTTCAACGCAGCTTGCAAAAATCCTTTCGGGGCCTGACATGTTTGCCAGAGGACATGGAGAAGAGTTTGGCAGTTCTTACACAAGCGGTACCATACAGGAACGATATTCCCGGAGCCGGAGAGGCTCTAAAATTCCTTGGGTACTGTAAGCTTCTTTGGGATTTACACTTGAACTTGGAGGGTCTAGCGGGTGAGTTCCAAACCATGGTCGCTCTGAAGGCTGTTGTCACGTCTTTCATTTTCTAATCTTGACAATGCCAGAAGGGCTTATCAAACTCAGCACAGCGCTAATTAGAATAGTGTTTTGGAGTATATTAAACTATAAATACAATAAGGAACCCCCAAAATACTGTGGATGGAGAAAATCTTGCACCGCTTTTAAGATATGTTATGTAGCTTCACCCCTCGCCCCCTTCTTAACATTGCTATGAACATGGGGTTTTGCAAAATCGTTCCAATGACAGAAATCTTGCACCCCCAAGAGATCTGTCGTCAATGTCAAGAAAGGGGCGCGGGCTTGTTGCTTGGATGTGTACTCGAAACACTGTGTGTAGGTGGTGCAAGATTTCCTCCATCCACCGTAGTATTGGTAATTGTACCTAACAGAGCATGCCCGAACATGCCCCAATTCGAGGCCTCGGGTTGCTCGGCAGACGCCCTGCCCCCAACGGAACCTCGGCACTGGTGAAAGTTGGAGGGAAAAGTGGATTTCAGTTGTTCTTTGCATGCCTCAGGGTTGTTCCATATGCCCGGAGCTTTTGCAGTTCGATTCTCGAGTTCAAAGTCCTCCTGTCTACTGCGAGGATTAGGTTTCAGGTTCCATCCCCCAACCCCCCCACCCCGCCGAAACCCTAAATATCAATTCAAAGACCAGCCGGGGTCCGGTTCTGCAAACTTTACACTCGTACATGCAATACTTCACCTACAGGACCCATAACCAGCCCCATAGCACTAAGGAGCCCGATTTTCCACTCTGCCTCCCAGACTCAAGTTACGTGATCTCAGTCATCCGGCATCAGCCAAACTTGAATAGCTGCCATCTGGTCACTAGTAGCAGAGAGACCACAGCGCGGGAGCAACCTGCAAAGGCCTTAAAGCTCCTCGGGATCCCAAAACCCTTAAACCCTCGCAAAACCTACCGAAGTTGGATCCTAAGTCCATAGATAAGAGTGCCGCTACCTCTGGTGGAATTGTGGAAAAGCGCCTCGACTTTGCACCCAGTCTCTGCAAACGATTCCAGCATACCCATGTTGGCATGCAGTCCCAGCTCCCTTCTCCGCGAACGGAAACTATTGTTTGGCCTCTTTGTCCTAGATTTCAAGCCGTCTGCCAACGGCATCTGGATGCAAGCGTCGCTCCGATCGGACTGCTACAGCAGGAAAGAACAGCCGACTGAAGACCGCCAACCATACGAACTATCTCAGAGGCTACAAATATACATACATACATATATATATATATATAAAGGTATGTATTTATGTATATATGTATATATATGATATATGTAACCCCCTCATCCGTTTAATAAGCTTAATAAAACCCGCCCCCCCCCCCCCCAAAAAAAAAAAAAAAAAAAAATATATATATATATATATATATATATATAGAATTACTTTGGGCCGTAAATTTGTAGTATCAAGGTATTTTTAGGCTTGATGTTCCGAAATTTGAGTCTAGAAATTTTCTCTCCCATGCAAGGGTGCGCGTCTAACGAAAAGCATGGGATCGCACTCCGGATATTCGAGACAGCAGTGTACTCCTCTCAATCCGCACACTGCCTGCGCAAAGCCAATCCGCACCCAATCCCGCACCCCGCTGCCTAGGAGAAGCTGGATTGAGAGGAGTGCGTTGCTGCCTCGAATCCCCCTAGCCTGGGAGTGCGATCCCACATGCGCACCCCTGCCTGGGAGAGCTAAATTCTAGACGGCAAAATTTTGAAATTCCCACATCCGGACTCCCTCGGACGCCGCGCTCCTACTCCAAATGCCAACTTTCCAAATTCTCCATGCGACCCTAGCCGGGTAATTCCAAATCCGTGATGGACATCCTACCTGACCCCTAACTCAACATGCTTCTACGCCTGTTCATTTTTGAAGTTTTTCCTCGAAGCTGGGAAATTTTCCGGCCGGGGAATTAATTATTGAAATGTAAGAGGATTTATTATGATGAAGGGATTACGTACGTATGTGTATACATTTTTGTATATACTGAACCTGAGCATAGTACGCACACACACACACATATACGCACACACACACACACACACACACACACACGCACCCTACGGAGACTTCGCGTCGGGGACACTTCTGAACGGCATTGTGAATATCATATAATATCATTCTTTCAACTGAAGCTACGTATGCTACAGTGGGCGAGACGAAACAGGCAGGACATGAACCATAAGGGAGTACGCTTACCAAGTATTCCAGGCCTTGTTTAGATTTGGAGCAGCTTCTGCGACCTGAGCCCCGGAGTTCCTGAGCCCCGAGCTGGCAGAGCCGCCATGTTGAACCTGGAAAGGCGTAGAGGGGCCTAAGGGCCTAAACCCTAAGCTCAAGTGGCGCCAGCTCTCACAAGATGTGCACCCCCAGAAGCCGGGAGACCGATATCTGGAAGTCTCTAGCTTGAAATTGTTCTCGGCTTGGGCTGCCTCGGATCATGTGATTGTAGTTTACGTGCCAAGACAACGGCAGAGGGCCGCACGTGAGGCCAAGTCGCCACCAGAGAGTAGAGATGTCCACCGACCTGCCACGACCGTGAAACCAAATCCTACAATCCCATGGTGTCTGCGAGCTGTTGCCAAAGCACGGAGCATTAACGCTAAGGGCCTCCTCACCTTCAACAGAACTTGCTCATGATGCCTAGAATGACAGCTTGGCGAACGAAACGCATGGTGCAAACCGCAGATATAAGCCAGAGTGGCTATGTGGAGATGCGCCTAGATTCGCACTTGATCTCTTCCGAACATAGTGCTCCACGCTAGAATTTTGTCCCGCAAGACGTGCGAACCGAAATACCAATACCACCACTGCCCTGACAGGCGCACCGACTTGTTGTAAAAGTCTTGGTCGTAGGAGACCGGGAACCACTCTTGGTGCCTAGGTTTGGATGAGTCTGGATGGGCTCACATCCGGGGGCCTGGAGAAAGGTCGGGAGTCTAGCCATCTAATGCGTAAGCCATTCAGGGTAGATTGCAACGAGCCAGACCTCACAAGCTGATCTTCGCGTTCTCGCCATCATGATCAGGAATTCAAGGCGTGTGCTAATTATCGAAAACAAGAAGTGGTTTATCACCGCCATCTTCACACCTTGACTGCCCTGACTACATCATTGTCGCCATGATCACCACTGCCACCAGGACTGCGAGCACCACCAACGCTAGCACCTTCACAACCATCATCATCGCCAGCATCAGCAGCAGCAATAGCAACTGCAAGGGGCAACAAAAACAATAGCATGCCAGGCCAAATTATAGATTGCAGCAGAGTTTGCGTGATCAAGCCTCGCAGGCAGTGTTCAGCCTATTCACACTGCCATCCTCTTCGCAAATCCAGAAACACCTCATAGTGATCATAGTAGTCTAACATAACATCGGTTCAGGATTCAGGATTATAGTGTATTGATGATATCTGCACATTCTCATCACGGCTAGAGTTAAGGGTTCAGGATCCTCGAAAGGGAAGCAAGCGAGTCTTGCATCATGTCAGCCGGAGTCAGAACCGAGGGAGCTTTTCTTTGCAGCTGCCGCCCTTGGGCTCTGACAAGGCCATCATCTCGTCCATATCTTCCGCCTGTCACCGAGTCAGGGCTTACAGATCTGCGCGATCCATTCAGGACGTGACCAGCCCTGCGCATCCGAACTCTCAAAACATCTGCCTAAACATCAACAGAAAAATCCCTGATGCCTTCGACTTGGGAATCTTTTGCCCGAGCCATGGAACGCAGTAGAAGATAAGACAAGAGAAGGCAGACAAGCGGAACAGAGAAGGCAAGCGACGCACGGCGAAGATGTCAGCCACCAAGGCATGGCATTAGATGAAAACAGCGAAGCTTGTTGTGACATGATCAAATGTAACGCGGCGTCTGCGGACAGAAACTTCGATAATGTGGTGCAACGTAGGCAACACATTGCGTCTTGGATAAACCAGAAAGATTGCGAGTGCGAGAGTTAGGTGGACATGACGAAAGTCTGACTTTCGGGAAAGCATCGTCCAGACCTTCACTGAGTCGTTCACTTCGCAACACAAGCTGTGGACTTTCTGTACTTCGCCACAACCAGGCTCCTTCTTTTCGCAGGAACGGTCTAGGGCTTAGTGCCACGATGACTACAACCACTAGCACTAGCACTCCGACAACGACCGCGCCTACCCCTGCTGCGAATACGACTACGACTGCGACTTCGACTGCTGCGGCATCAGTGCTGCTGCCAACAATACACATGAATGTGCACATTAACGTTTGTCCAGTCTACAGATGTTATGGCAAGGCTTCTGAGGTGTGCATCAGTCTCAGTTCGGAGGTTTCGTTCTTGGGGCAACCCCGTGCGTGCCTGCAGAGGGCGGTAGTGGATGTGGCTCAAAGGTATCGCAGCCTTTGCGCAGGATGATCGCTGGGCCCGGGAGCAACTCCTACGGTGGTGTTATGGCGACTACGCGTATCAGTTTCATTGCTGTGATTCCGGCATTGGTAGTTGTTAGCGACGGATATTCTTGAAGTCTTGCTAGTGGACCCTTATCTCCACTGTCAGCAGGTACCCGTATTTCCATATATGTCGTTGTAGTCATCACTTTCGCTACCAAGACACCATTATTCCTGCCATGACCCCAACTCTTCCTGTTACGATTTCTATGCGAATGCTATTGCGTCTGCTAGGGCCACTACGGCTGGCACTGGTACTGGTGCTGGTTCTGCTGCTGCACCTTCCACTGCTAATTACTGCGGCTGGTGATGCTGCGGCGTAACCTGCTGCTTCTTTGGGCGATTGGTAGTAGGTTCTTCGCGAACGTAGGGGCCCCCAAAAGGACATAAGCAGAATCGTCCTACGAGGATATCCCTACCTTATTGGGCTCCATCATCAGTGGATTTATATGGGATATCCCTACCCTGGTTTTTGCCCATGTGCTTTTTCAGGGCCCTAGACTGGGGCACTGGCCGCATCTTCGGCAGAGAAGCGACGGTGGACCTTCGCCTGCTCAAAAGGAAACCTGTCTATGCAGCAACCGCTAGGACACAAGCGAGAAAGAGCCATCGCTCTGAACAGTTTGAGGCTTGCAGTGTTCCAGCTCAGTGGTGAGAGGCTCTGAAAAATCCTGGAACACTCAAAGTAAACCGCGAGGTCATCTGCCTGCAGATGCATCTGCCAGGCTGAATGCCTTAACCCTGAACCCTAAACCCTAAACCCCTGAACCCTAAACCCTGAACCGTGGCCGTCAGTCTCGGCACTGTGTCGGCCATGGGGTCCGGCATGGCAGAGGACCTGTTTTGCGCCCCAATAGCCAGAACAAGCTTTCGGAATTGCGGAGCACGAAGGGAGAGGAGACGAGGCTTTGAGGCTTTAGAGACTACTTGAAGGCGTATGGGACTGAGCAAGCAAGGTTGTAAGTAGGTTACAATTAGGATAATCGTAATTAGGGGCGTACGTAGGGGACTTATAACCCCAATTGTGACCTACTTACTAAGTCCCATGGCCCATGATCTTTTAAGTAGGGCGTAAGGCTTCGAGTCTAGTGACTAGTGCTTGGGGCCTGGAGTTTGTGGCTCAGGACTTGGGGGGTTGGGGACTCGGGCACGTGGAGTCAACATTGTCTCCTATGGTTACTGTACTCTGAGCAAGGTTTCAAACACTCGTCTACGAGTTCGAGAGCCTTTGCTAGGCACTGAGCTTGTAAATGATTTGAGGGGTTCAAAGGCTTCGGAAGGCTCAATCCACATGCATTTCGGCGTTTGCGGCCCTCCGCATCCCCACATCTCAGCAACGATCCCGGCGCACCTTACCTGCCTGGGCCCTGACAGCCCTACACCTAAGACCCCAAACCCGGAATCCTCAGACCCGACATACTACCCTCACAGTAACCCCCATGCCTTCTGGTACCCTAACATCGGAACCTTGAACCAAACCACAAAAGCGAGCAGGCCGGACGAGCTCTTCGGCATGAGCTCCTCTGCTGGGTCCTTTCTTTAGTCATAGTGTTTCAGGGTTTCGGGATTTTGGGGCTTGCGGTTTAAGTTTAGGTGAGAGCTTCGGAATTCGGGACATAAGAAGGAATTACAAATTTGCGGCCAAGCACAGGACCTTAAATTGCCTTAAACCCCACCGCTCCAAGCCCTCGGGCCTCCTCCATTGCAGTGGGCGAGGAATGCGTCTCCATAGCGGCAAGCGGGGATCCCTGCAAACGTGTCTCTGTGCGAGGGCCTGTCGGTCTGGAGGTTTAGGCTTCCCGGTTTCTATGGATCTGTCCATCTCCTTTCTCGCTGGCCTGTGATTCAGGCTTGTGTGGGAAAGGGAGAAGGGGGGCCAACACGGGCATCATGCCAGACTAGGTGGTGGGACTTCTGCTTGCGGGAAAAAAAATCACCCTGTCGGGCTCGGGGTGTTACGGTGGGGAAGACTGGAACAGTCTGTTGCTGTCAGAATGAAGCAATGCTTCTGCTGAGGCCAAATCAGAACACAGCACGTGAAGACGCAACCTGCACGCATCTGCCGCTGGTCTTCTCCCTGCCCGAATGTCGAACCTCCAACCACAGAAGCTCTCAAAGCTCTCAGTATCATGAGACCTCTCAGAATGCTCTCCGTCTCGGTCCGGTTGTTACGTCGGAAGTGTCCAAGCACAAAATCGCAAGCTGATCAATTTGGATAATCGGGGTGATCCATGCTGTATTTTAGCGGCTTTCAACCCTGCACGGAAATCCAAACCAAGCCTGGTCGCGTCAGTTCTTCTATCAAGTTGTACATTTACTTGGGCTTCGTCTGCCGGCTTCTTAGGTTGCTCTTGGTTCCTTCACGCGGTCGTGAAGGCAAGGGCGAATCCCTAAGAATCTCAGTGAAGTTCAGACCACCTTGCCTAAATCAACAGCACCGTACCAAACACTCTAACAGAGAAGATCGACCGTTCGCAACATGCCGCCTTTTTGACCTGGCGGTCAAAGGGCGCCGAGCTCACCACCATGGAAAAGTGTGGGTGATCTCTTTCTTGTGTCTTCCCACTCTTCGTGGCAGGGGGGCGTGGATCAGGATCGAGGAAGCCGGACTTCAGGTTCGGGACGACTTCAGGCGAAGGTCCTTAGGGAGGAAGGGGTGGAGGCACATGCATCGGTTTTGACAAGGCTGCTGTGCTAGCGCAGCGGCTTTTGACTTTGCCGTGGGGGGGCTGCAGGGTCGCACATTTGGGCAGAAAGCTTAAATGGGTGATTCAAAGTCGCAAAGTCGGCAGAGGCGGCAGCTCCAGGAAAGATGGGACCTTGACCCTGATGAAAGCTGCGTGCCACTAATGCCTTCGCCAATTGTTTCTCTCCAGCAGTGAAACTTCAATCACCCTGTCCTTTCTCAATTTTCCGGGGGTCGATTTAGGATTGGGGTTTGCTTTACTATCATTATTATTGTTATTATTCCTTAGCCCATGAAGTTCCCGGAGCCGCCAACATGCACGAGTGCTGGGGCCGCTTCAGGCGTCCAGTCTACCGGCCTGCAGATCGGGGTGGAGTTTCCGAGCTTTGCCGAAAAGCACATGTGGGTGGTTGTCAAAATTAGGGTCCCTTTTGGGTACCCTAAATATTAGGTGCCGTACTAGAATAAAGACCCAAAAAGGGACCCTAATTTTGACAACCACCCACATGTGCAATGTACTATGATGTAAGAGGGGTAACAATCAAGATACCCGTGCAACCGGTAACAATGAGAGTCACAGATGGGTCAAGGTCTGCTGCTTCTGACGAGGGTGAGAACACTGCCTGAATTGCAGAAACGACCTCAGAAGTCACGGACTTACTGTTTTGAAGTTTCGTAAGCTAGCAACTCAGACTTTGAGGATTGGAAGTGTTGCGTTTCTGGTACTGGCTCGTACTAGTAAACTTTGGCGACGAACGCAACCGCCACTACCACCACCACCACCACCACCACCACCACCACCACCACCCCACCTCGAACACCAACACTACCGGGTCACTACCACTCACGACCACTACCACCAGCACCGACGACTCGCTACCACTCGACTACGACGACGACGAATTCTGCTGCTCCCTAATCATACCGCTATTGCTACTAACACTCACTACGACACTACGACTGTAACAGTGGATATGCAATTGCTGAAACCGACGCAAAACTTCCCAAAATGCAACCCAAAAATCTATCTCGACCCGCAAGCGGCCTGCACCGCCCTGGGTGGATGTGAGGTCCCCACCGTCCCCGCCATATTGGGAAGAGAAACCTCGCCAAGACTTGAAGATGCACGACTGATTCTTCGCAGACGGACGACTTCTTAGGATCGAAGGCAACGGTTGGCCTCTGTCAAGGCCACTTGTGCTCACGCTTAGGCCCAGTTCTCTCGTCGTGAGCTCGAGGTCTGGGCTGCGGATTACGCTGTGCGGGAATTTTTGCAGGATAATGGGAAGGTTCGTGTGCCTGGCTGCATTGCTTAAGGCCCCCACGGATCAGGGACATCACCAAACTGCAGAGCGACCTCAAGCATCATTCGCATATCCCCCCTGCCGCTGCCCAGAATCAGAGCAGACCGGCGCGCTAGAACGGAACAACTGAACTTCCTGTTTTCGCCTTGCTTGTTGATACTCTTCATTAGCCCATAACTTCAACCCCTGATTCATGTCGGCGATAACTCCTGAGGTCTCGAAGCAACGAGGCGATGAACGTGGGCATTTCTTCGGGTATTAAGGGTTGTTTTCAGATGACACTGCAAGGATCTGCAAGGCAACACCCTACATTTGAAGGGTGAGTTCGGCCATGTGTGGTTCGCCGAGGTGTAGAAGGATATAAATCTACAGGGCCATGTTTTGCACTTTGTGCTCTGCAATTCGCCCGGTGCGAGGATGCGCACAAACCGAGTGAACACCAGCATGGATTCGTGAATGCCTTCAGTCTCCTCCGGTCCCTCGCCCCAGCCCAACCCATCTCCACCCTTTGTACTCCCGATCTTACTGTAGTTTAGGTCTCTTGGGCCGTGGCCAACACATGGCAAAGCAAATCCCGAAGCGAAGTGCCTGCAGACCTCGGCAAGTGAGGCTCCATCCCTCTCGCAGACATCGAGGAATCTAGGTCTACACTGTGCCATGAAACAAGGAAAAGCAACTCGGTGATTCCTTGGAGACTTTGGAGGCTTGACTTGGCAGAAGCAACAAAACCTGCAACCGCATGGGGGGGGGGCCATGTGGTGCCAACCTGTGCGACTCTACTTCAATGCCTGAAAGAGGCGAAATTGAAATGGAGCCCCGAGTCCCCAACCGACAGGTATTCGTGGGGCGGCGGGTCTCCTGTTCCTGTGGCCTCAAACTACTGACTTCACGAATTTCGGCGTCTTTGCGGGAGCCGATCCGGCCCGAGGGCATGACTGTCCTGGTGCATGTCCAAGATCGCTGATCTGAGAGTCTCCTGAAGGGGACAGGTCTTTATGGATGTGGAGGCTGGGTTCGAAGGATGTCACTGTATGCAGCGTGAGGCTCTCGCACGCCACACTGATCATTCCCCAGGCTATTGGTGCTAAGACATTGCGACCAGTAGTCACAGTCGGGGTCTCGGGATCAGGCTAGGTTTCACACTCAGTGACTCAGCGTTACAATCCACTCCCCATCGAAATTCCACGGCTTTGGGCTGAAGTGTGCCATACGCGACCTGTATCCGCTGATGCCACGGGCGAGCAGGCACGCGGCCCTGCAAAGTTGGGCAGCAATGACAGAAAGTAGAAAGTGCAGTCACATGATTGTATTCCCTGCAAGATAGAATCTAAAATAGTGCAGAGCGGCCTCGCGTTGCATCAGCCGGATGGCTCTCAGGACATCGCTCTTTCCGCGACGGCCTCCTGCTTCAGTGTGCTTACACATCTGTTCGGCAGGACGCCAGGACTTCACGTAGTTGCTGCTTCGTTCGCTTCAGCGGCTCCAGCAATTAAGTGTGTTCGATCCCCACATTTGTGCTGCGCCCAAACTTGTACAAGCTATCTTCAATCCCATGGCTTGTCTGTTGGGCCTTGCAGTTAGGCCGTAGTCAGGGTCATTGGGGGATGCCCCTTCGGCCCTTTGCATCCGCTCACAACGGGCTCGAGGCAGTTTCGGGGCTCCGGTGACTTCCCGGCTCCGCCTGGTCGGTCTTTCTCCCGCCGCTTCTTGTGGCGGCGACCTCGGCTGAGGGGGCTGGGAGATATGTGCTGCTCACCGCCACGGTCTTCGCGTGCATTGATCTGTTGTGGTGGAATTCTGTAGCCGAAGAAACTGTCGACGAGAGTTCACAGCTAATGCCGCTGTGCGTCGTCTCAGGTTCGTCTCATCTTCGCCTTCCTGGCAAGAGTGGCCAAGCCCTTCGCAAACTACAGAAACCCCTGTCCGGCATTGTCCGGCATGATGCACCCTTTCGGTGGCAAGCGCGCATAGAGGCAAAGATCCTACTTTTCCATGGCGGTTCTGTCGAGTTTTTTGGCTAAGAGTAGGTAGGAGGGTTTAGAGTAGGGTCCATTTAGGAATTCGCTCCACTGGCAGGTCTGACTTGCCCACCTCCTCGGACACGTTCATGGCCTCAAGGGCCTCTCGGCTGGGGCCAAGAGCAGGTGGGGAGGGGAGGGAAGGGCGAGGGAGCTCAGGCTTTTGCGACAAGCTCTGCTTCAGATTTAAAGACTTTGAACTTCCGGGCTCAATTCACAGAACATTGAACTGCTGGCTTGTGCACACGAACAGGTTCGTACTAGTAGCTGACGGGAATTTAAGTGGCGAACTTGGGCAATCGTGATGTGCGACAGCGTGAGCGGACGAATCTACTCGACACCATCGAAAGGCAACGGACTTTGTGTGCGCCAGGCTGCTAACAGAAGAATGGCTTTTTCCACCTAAACAAAGCTCCTTCAAAGGAGGCCCTTCCTTCACAGAAGAGTCCTCAAACAGCCCTCACCGTGTTGCGGGTCCGGTGAACACTTCAGGGATCGAGACCTTGGATAAAGAATCGCCGGAGTCCGAAATTTGAATGCAAGGTTGATGTAGACCCCTGGATGTCGCCTACAATGATTACAAGGGAACCCCCGGCCCGGGCCGAGCCTCCTGTTCGCTGGAGGTCGGAGGTCGCTGCCTTCAAGAGGAGCTCAGAGTTTCGCAGAAGTGAGCCTCTTGAGAGTAGGTATTCTGCCAGGAATAGTCCCTGAACTCCACCCTA